AAAGCCTTTTCAAAATCAACCATTAATAACATTCCAGGGATATCATTTTCCTCTGTATATTGCATAATGTCATAAACCAGGCGAGTATTTTCTCCTACATAGCGTCCCGATATAAATCCTGATTGATCAGAGTTTATAATTTTTTGTAAAACTAATTTGAATCTACTTGTTATTGATCCAGAAGCAATTTTGTATACAATGTTTAATAGAGAAATAGGTCTCCAATTCTTTATAAAATACTTTGATTTATTAGCCTTAGGTATACAAGTAATTATTCCCTGACGTTGTGTAATAGATAGCTGACCATTTGAAAAACCATAATTTAATGCCCTAACCACAAAATTACCTAACTGATTCCAAAAACATTTATAAAATTCTGATGTGAATCCATCTGAGCCTGGGCTCTTATTACTTTTCATATTCTTTAGTGTTATAGATGCTTCTTTAAGTGTAATAATACCTTCCAAACTGACCGCTTCTTCAACATTTAATCTTGGAACATCAAAATCTTCTAAAAATTCATCCAAATCTATGTCATCGACTTCATTATCAATAGAATACAATTGTTCATAAAAAAATTTCACCTCATTTAATATATCTACTTGTTTAGTTAGAAATTCCCCATTTTCCTGTTGTAACTTTGGAATGATTTTTGATGTAAAATGTCTATTTTCTAAATTAAAAAAATAATTGGTAGGTTTTTCACCCTCATCAATCCATAAGGCTTTTGCACGTATTATACTCCCTTTTATCCTATGTACTCTAATCTTTTCCAATTCCTTTTTTTTCTCAAGTAACTTGTCTAAGTCTACATTATTCTCATTTTCCAGTTCCTGTATTTGATCTATTAAGGTCTTTTCCCTTGCCCAACACTGTTTCTTTTTATAGGAAGAATATGAAATTGACTTACCTCTAATTTCCATTAATAGTGTTTCTAAAAATAACTGATCATTTATAACAAACTGTAAATCTGAATCAGGTATATCATCTATATTTTCAGGATTATATATAGGAAGGCAATACTGTAATTTAACTGTTTTAATAGTATCATTAATTATATTAAGATATTCCAGGTCATATAATAAGGAACTATTTAACTTCCATAGACCTTTACCTTTTTTAAATTCGTTAAATTTTAACATAATTTTGGGGAAAGAATGGTCTGATCTGTAACCTGGATCTATACTTGTCTCACATACACTTTGTAATAAGTTCCCAGAAACCAAAAAGAAATCTAACCTAGCCTGCTTGATAGGTTTACTCCTGCGCCATGTATATCTGGAAATGTCAGCATGCTGTTCTCTAAAAACATCCACTAAATCAAAGTTATTTATTATTTCTAATATCCTTTCACGAGCCTTTGGATTATTAACATTTTTGTAGCTTTTATCACAATCTAAATCAGGATTAAGAACTAAATTAAAATCCCCACAAATAACACAGCTATCATTTTTAAACTCATAGAGAGTTTCTTCTATTTTATCATAAAAAGTTGGGTTGTCAGAGTTTGGACCATACAATGTAATTAAAGTTATTTTCTTACCTTCAATTTCTAGATCCAATGCCAAAAAATTCCCTGTCAAGTCTTTTTTTTCCTTTATCACCTTGACTTCAAAATTGTTATTGATAAGTATTGCTACCCCCCTTGCATTAGATTTAAAAGAATTAAAATAGCAGTTATAGCCCCATTCACTCAGTAATATTTCTTCCTGTTCATCGGTAAAGTGAGTATCTTGCAGACAGTAGATATTGTATTGCCTATCTCTTAAATAAGTAAAAACATCCTTGCGCTTAACCTTGTCACCAAGGCCCTGGCAATTGGCAGATAATATCTTAATTCCCTCCACAACTGTTTAAGAAATTACAATGCATACAACAATGTATGGAGTTACAGCAGGCAGTAAAAATTGACTGACGGAAACTACACAGCAGTAACAGTATTTGCCCGGCGTGATGTCTGACACAAGAGATGAAATAAAGAACTGAACACAGAGAAAAGACACACAAAAGAAACACATAACGGACACAAATAAACATTTAAAATATCAAAAGTGGTCAAGAAAGACTGACTCACTATCACCTATACACCTTCATCTAATATTCATTCACCTGCATGCCACACCTCATCCATTCGACCCAATTTATCCAGTCTTTCGATCCTCACTCGTCATCAAACGACGCTGAACTTAACCGGAAGTACATATAGGCTAATCTAGTCTCAATCAGTTAGATGTTTAATGGCATAGATCTTACGGGCTAAGCATCTGACTGACCCAGAAAACATAACTAATTACATAGACTGGAACCGACATTGGACTATATTATCCGTCATATACTATATGATATCAATATACAGTTTTTGCATGTCTAGAATGATTATCCAATATCTATCACCATTTATGTAGGTAATATATTATTCAACTGTTTTCAATATGTCATCATAATATATATTTATATTAAAAATGGAGGGGAAAAAAATAATGTAAACTGTTATTCTGATATTACATTCTATTTACTAATACTTATACCAGGAAACACATAATATCATAAGATTCAGTTTCATATACAATTCACTTTCAGCCCTTTCATACTTTCATAGTTGCGCAGCATCAGTCAAAATTACATAATAAATCAAAGAGACTATAACTATAAACAAATACAGTATTATCAATATAGACATATAATAGCACGTAATATTTCATTGTCAGAGGGAAAGAATGTCAATCACTACCTGATTAATCAATATGTACATAAGTATCGACAATTTCACTGAATGCCAAATCAATATATTTTGCACATATGTAAAGTCACTGATTTTCAGGTATGATTACTTACGAAAATTGTCATCGTTCACCAGGAATGTCTCCGACAGTATTGTATTAGAAAAAATTCTCCGTTTTTTTCCATTTTTCAATAATGCAAAAAGTTTTCCATCAGTACTCCATGAACGCGCAACACACTGAAGTTCAAAAGCAGCCTTCAACCTCTGTTGATTGATACGGGTCAAGTCCTCTGTGATAAATGTCCCCGATCCCTTTAACACTTTCCTTGTCTGGATGATTTCCATCTTCTTCCTTCGGTGGATGAACTTACAGATAATGTTACGAGATTTACCTTGCTGGAAACGCCCTAGTCTGTGTGCAATGTCAATATCAGATTTGCAAATCCCAACTTTCAGTTTGTCCTTCACGAAACTCACAATCTTTCCAACACAGTCTTCCACAGTCTCATTTCTATCTGCGTCTTCAAATCCCACTATCCTAATAGAATTTTTCCTCCCATGTTGTTCCAGATCATTTTGTTTGTTTTCAAGTTCCAGCCATTTGTCTTCTGAATCTGTTAATTGCTGTTCAAATCTGGTTACTGATTGTTTTAAATCCTCATTCTGCTCCTCTAAGTCGTAAATCCGACCCTCCATTCGCTCTATCAGTTCCCTATTTTCTCTTCTGATTTCTTCTCTTAGGTTTTTCATCTGTTGACACATGTCCTCCTTCATCGTTGACAGTATAGTGAATATATTGTCCAGTTTCTCATCTGTCGACATTTTCCCTTTCGATATGTCACTGAGCCGTCCAGACTGAAGTCCCTTGGATTTATCTTTACTATTACTGATGCTCCCGCTCCTGGTTGAAGCCATTTCACAAGACAAACTCACAGTTCAGGAAAAAAAAAAACCCAACACTTTCAGCACAACAGTGTATAGTCAGATGTCCATACAGGTGTGTAATACAGGTAAGGTTACCTGTGTGTCACTAGGTACAGTATAGGTGATAGTGGTCACTAAGAGTGCTCACTGGACCATGGTGAGATCTGGTCTATCTTCAAAAGAAATGTTTCTCAAAATCCAGAAAAGACAGAAAAATCTGCACCAAAGACACCACAAATGTAATCTAAAGCACCTCCAGAATACACAGTGCAACATTCGTCATGAATGCATTGTTATTTTCAGCATAACAGACACTTTTCTAGAGAGCTCATAAACAACACCTCTGGCCAGGTCCTCCGTCCTTGACCCCTTCCTTTGACATTTGACATTTTATAATAAAACCATTTGTAAGTAAGAGTTATCTTTCTTGAAAAACTTCACATTAGTGAAATAGGTAGCCGGTTTCGTGAAGTACAGAACAATGGACACATGTGACTCATTGATTAAAAAGAACTGAGTTAATGCCTGGATTGCTTTGAAATACTTTAATATTGAAAGAACACACTGTTCTGTCAATAATAAACATGCAATATTCATCAGTTTAATATTAAACATTAGAATATGCGGAAATTGTGATACTGTCTCCCTACATTGGATTTTCAACTAGGGATGTACTTCCTGTTTCCGTTTAGCAATACACTCCAATGACCTTAATTCCAATCAGTGGGTAAGAAGAAGTCGTTTGAAGAAATTGTTGACGCACGCCACGGTATGGTATTAGTTCACCTTGGTAGCATGGGAGAAAGATAATCACACCCTACCTTGAGGATGTAACGGAGAACTCTCGGGTTAGACAACCAAAAAACATCACCCCCTTGGGTTGGAGATTTCTCTCCGTCACACCATCAAGATAGGGGATGATATCAATCAGCGATTTGACCACTAGAAGTGACCTTGAGGATATTGATCAAAGCTGTAAGAGGCACATGCATCCACAGGGAATCGAAACTCGGAAGTCCAATGAAATGGCTGGTGAAATCTCTGACCGGTGTAGCTTTGTTATGCAAGACAGTGGCGGATCCAGAGACCTATCTGGGGGGTTCCATGTTGGAAAAATTGAGGAAAATGGTGAAAATATATGATTTTTAAAGAAAATTATCGGGGGGGGGGTTCCTGTAGCCCCAAAAACCCCTCTGGATCCGCCACTGCAAGACAGAAAATGTATTTTACCTTTTGACCTTAATTAGTGTAAGGTTTTTTTATTAGCATAGTATCTCGACTGTAAAGAAATCAAGCTCCAGGAAAAAATTCAGACGTCTCATTAAGCAAATAAATAAGAACAAAACACCAAACATGTTTTTATAAAAAAGAGATTTTATTTGTATAATTTCAAACTATTTTCACTTCCCTACAAATTGCCTGAAACTGAACTCCTACTTTCATCAACCTTCCTGTAAGCGTTTGAAGATTGAAGCTTACAGTGAACTTAAAGGGTCGGATTCTATCTTTTAGATCACACGAGCGCCATACAGGTGTGTGACCTTAATCAAACTGAATGATGAAATAATGAATACCACTACTTCAACTAAAATGGTCGTGCCAAATGTAAAACTTTGTAATGTCAATAATTTGTCAAAAAAAGGGATAAAAATTGTACCATAATTTAATCGTAATTGCAGATAGCATTTTATGCATGAAATGTCCAACATTTTCCATAATTTAGAAAAATACACGAAAACAAAATATTAGTATGAACATAATGTCCGGAAAAAAATAATTATCCAACCAGACACCTTTGAAAGGAACACAAGAATAGTGTGTATTTTCCTTTAAACTCATTCACCCCTGAAGACACATTTGAACTCTTCCAATTCAAGGTTGAAATAGTTCATCATAAAATTTCAGGGGGTGAATGAGTTACGCAGGTAATGTTTCCAGTCTGTCGGTGTACCGGTGCACCTCGTCATGGCTATACACAATTTACCAAATTAGTCGGAATACAAAACAAATGACATTTGACACATTCTTTTCTTCAACTTCTTACAAAACACAAAAGCAATATGACTATAAATATTAAATATCACTCCACTTAGTTACCTTCTAAGGGAATATATCAGATTTTGACAACATTTTTTTTTTTCTTTGCAAGAAATATTTGAGCGAGATGGTTGGCTTAGCCAGTCCAGCACCCTGAATGACATTTAAATTCACTGGCAAGGTTAAAATGAACGATAACTAAAAACGAAACAAAAAAACTGGCTTCAGGCACACCAAAGAACAATTTACATATTAAAATCGTGTTAAAAAGTACATAAAAACAACATAGTAACAGGTGGCAACTACTTCTCGCCAAGCTTAATCTATACCCCACATCACAAAATCTGTTGTTGACATTCTCCTGTCTAGATGGTTCTCGAGACAAGTTTTTGATATATATCCCATGCTTTCATAAATTTTACAACATAATGGTCTATTTTCTCTAACCAGGAAATGTGGGACCTTCTATACACAAAACTGCTCGATTCACTTACCATTATAACACCAAGTATGTTTTTCAAAACTGTTGTGTATGTACTGCAGTCAAACTATCCATCTTGAAGGCATGCATGCATCAACATGGCATATTCATTTTCAATAATACCAATAATTATTCAATTCATTCAAAGTTTTACACAAATATCTTAATTTTTTTGGACTAAAAATCTCCCAAGCCCTTTTTAGATAGCAGTTGGTATAATCCAGTTCTTCATATTTTCGATTATAAAAGATATAAATTTGACCGAGAAATAAATTTAAAAAATAAATGAAAACAGATTGAGCAATCATGTGGGGCGAGAATAATATTGGATGATTATGTAGGCCGTTAAAATAACAAGGCTGGAAGAAAACAAAGTCCTGAATATGTTTAAAGGAAAGCAGAGAGAGAGAGAGACAGACAGAGAGAAGAGAGAAGGAAAGAAAAACATTCAAGATACCACAGGACTTTTTTGATTCTTAGAATGAGCCATGCCCCCCTGTGTGCAAGTTATGCACAATAGAGATTACTGACAAGATCGTATTGACCGAGTCTTGCTGCATGGATACACAAAAGATACATTCCAGGACAAACGCTGGCACAGGACTTCTTCTATCTAGACATGTCAATGCAAAAATATCTGTTCTCTTTCTTACAGTACAAAACTGCTGAACAATTATATACAACTCACATAGTACATTTTAATAAATAGTTTCTCACTAGAAGCATTCAACCAATCTCCATGAACACAGAAACAAGTTCTAGCGAATAATCACATTCACTATTACAAGCCTACCATATACAAGCATGTAACCCACTCACAATGATTGCTAACACATGCTTCTACCATATAACCAATCACAATCATTGGTACACTTTCATATAACCAATCACAATCATTGTTACACTTTCATATAACCAATCACACCCACTGTTACATGCTTTACAATCTTATTGTTGTACACTCTACAATTATAACCAATCACGTCCATCATTACAAGCTTTATAACCAATCACACTCCTCATTACAAGCTTAACCATATGACCAATGGCACCAATTGTTACACATCTGCACGAATTATGTCCTTGAGGCCCGATTCCCTGAATGCTACATCAAAATGCCAATCTTAATATCACATCTGATCCGTACTGAGAGATGCAAATCCCCCAGGGTGTGACCAATAGACAAAGCCCAACTAATCACAAGGAGCTGTCTACAACCAAACAATCGGACGAAACATTCTTTCGCATCGGATAGAACGAAACATCAACTGAACGGGTAGAAGCACCATGGCAACGCTCGTCCAATCAGAGGAATCTTCAACATGGAAATAATCAAGATGCGTGGATTTAGTGGCGATTCTCATCGGATCATTCAGAAAACTCAGTTTCACACGCCATTCATGCCTACATTTACTTCCCAGGTGCAACACACTAGAGGACAACATAACAGTTCAATGACTCAAAATATTACATATGTATTGTATCAAGAAAACATACCATCTAACACAGTACAAATTATTATTGTATATTCGAATTCATCAATGGCAACAACAACAACAATTATCATTATATTTTGAACATTGACAACATATATATGAATATAAAACTCTCCTCAAAATGAAACATTCAACCGAAAGCCAGCACTGATTTTTGCAAGGCATACATTTATTCCAATTTGAAGTCGCCAGTTTTGAGTACGAGACAACTGAAAACATCACATGCAGAAAACTGTTTGTGTCCGACAACCAAGGTGGACAAAAGAATGCATAATGTATGTAGACTAGGGGCACAAACTTTCCGTCATAAATTCGTAACAAGTCTAGCCGGAAAACCGATGTGCGATCACAACTTCTGCATAGAATCCAGGGACTAATCATACGCAGTCCCTTTGATTGATCAAGATGAGCTCCGAATCAAACCTGGCCGATGCTATATTGACCTCAGTCACATAGAACAGGTATTATCTGTTGGACCTAGCTCACCTCCCAAGGTCTGGACACTTTTGAGCCCTGATGGCAATAGAAACAGTTGACCTCTGACAACAAGACAATCAGTATAATGAAGGGCTCATTTTACGATACATTTTAACAACTTCAAATCAAATAAAAAAAATGGTTGGTAATATAAAAATAATTTCCCAGTTTTTTTTAGGTTTTTTTCCACAAATCTTCACAAATTAAGGGACAAAGTTGTTTAACCTTCCCACATTTACCATAACATTTCAATGATCTACAAGATTGATCTACTACCGTGAATTACATTTGAAAGAAAGTCTGCCAAACACAGATGTGATTTTTTAACTCCAATATTACTTTTACAGTGCCTCAGGCAGAAAAAAAAGAGGCCCTGGTAACCGACTGTTTACTGTTGCCTTGACAACTGGTTTGGCCATCACTCATACTCATACTCACACATTAAGTAGAAGCCTTTTACAATAAATGGCAAAGAAAATAGATTTGGTAGAATCACAGCCCTGATATCTGAAATCTTTTTTTCGTGTGCTAAAATTTCAGGAAAGTTTGCGAACCAGGGCCCGGGGAGGCACAATTAGGGATAAACACCGAGCAAAAATAGGATTTCTGCAGAGACACAATGTATCATATATAAGGTATGTCTAGATTGTACAAATGATTCCTTTAGCAATGTAATATCACTCAAAACACTCATTTTTCCATTGATGTAGTTTCCCCCACCAATCAATTATTCAAACCAATAGTATGCCTACCAATCTTCTCAAGAAAAGAAACAGCCAAATTTTAATCTTAAACACATTCAGTCGGGGAGTGTTTTAACTAATTTGTATGTTTGTGGAGAGAAAGATCTTAGCATTCTATTACATCGTATACTGCTCTTGTTGGTAGATTCATTGGGACACAAACTGAACAAATTATGTAAAAGAAAATAATATTCAAAATCCATTACTTTTTAAGAGGTAACCAACAACCGTTACTTTCACTTTCCAGTTTTACTGGTCTACACAGATGTTAAATGCAACTGTCTACAAATATATCACTACGATACCAAATGGGACTGAACGGCCATTACAAGCCTCGATATTTCTAATTACAATAGAATTCTAAATTTGTGCACAAATCTGACCTCCTACAGATGAAAAAACATGTAAAGAAAATCTGCCAATGGAAATAAACTGTAAGTGGTGTTTTTTTTGTAAAAGTTAAATTTCTTGCTGTATACAAATCTGCTAAAAAAAAAGGTAACCAAGAGTTTTGGTTTAATTCATTAAATCAACATTGTTTTATCTATTGAACTATACATATATCTTTGCCACAAATTAATTTAAAATACTTGCTGGAATTTACTAGGACTGGTTAGCCAGAGAAATATCAACTGCACGGGTCTTAATTCTTTTCTGTCGAAGACGTAGCTTGCCAAATCGTTGACGAAAAAATAAAATTGTTGATGAGGTGAAGACCTCTCCATTCCACGCTTAAAACGAAAAGATTGCTGATGTTTCCTCTGTGCTCATTATTTTTTTCTCTCATAATGCACATTACTTAAACAGCAGGATTTAAGAAGTGTTTTGTGATATTTAGTAAAAACAAATCAGATTATCTCATACTATATAAATCAAGGGACCACTTCGTCACAGGTGTAAAGAGTTTCTATTCAACAAGCTTATGCACTAAATTCAATCTAGTTTATCGGTAAAAGCGACAGTTTTACATAAATCTCGTATGCATTGCCTTTATATATATGCAATGCCTTGCAGAACTTACAGAACTTAAATTCACCCTCGAACTTACACAACATATTTACTTAAAGCTTACAAATTTGAAGAGCACCTAGTATATCTTTATATAGCACTTAAAATATTGTGTTATCAACATGGACTTGAGTTTGACAAAGTAGACAGTATTAGACTAAATGGAAAATGCCCGCTGCAAAGTTGTATAGAATATTTATACAGGGGTTATTTTCTTTGATGACAACTATTTCATATAGACGTTCCCTGAGAAACAAATTAAGTCAGTACAATAAAAAAAGCAAAGCATAAGGCAGCCTTATTCACGGTGATCTGGAAATTCAAAATTTGGAGTGGCGCAGTGGATAGTGCACCAAGTTTCACCAAGGCAGCCGGTGTTCAATTCTCTGATCAGACAAGGAAATGTAGGGTGCCGGTCACCTTCCCAACCACGTGGGTCTTCTCCGGGTACACTCGTTTCCTCCAACATTGAGACCCCCCGTGCGCCAACGTCTGGGCCAACAAGAGTTATGAATATAAGTTGAAATAACTTGTTTCATAATTGTTGTAACCTAACATAAATTTTATTTCAAATTTATTTCAATCCAGAAGTCAGAGAGGGAAAAGATCTGTTCAACCCCGTGTTATAAAATATGTTTATCAGATCACCAATGGCACAAGTAACAAGTATTACAGCACTATTGAAAAGAAAAATATTCTGGACAGCATTACCTCCCTTGAATTTGACTTCAGCGCCAATGCTCACCAAGGGAAACAACCAGTGATCTGCAAAACATTTGGCGTTATTGCTGTAATGACCTTAACCACTTAGAACTACTAACCAGAACCTAAGCATAACATGCTAGTCTTTTCTTAAAAGATCGAGTATATATGACTTGCAAGTTCACAATATTCAAAATATTCATACATATCATGGTTATTTTTAGAAAATGTTTTGAATTTGACCTTTTTTTGAGTATCATGTACAATAAAAACGTTATACAGTAGTCTACTCCATGAAGACGCAGAAACAGACGTGTGTCGATAAGACAGACTGACCAGAAAAAAAATGTAATATTCAACTACACATCATTTACACATGCAACTTTCAAAATATAGGTCACTGTGACCCTTAAATGGAATGTGATTTACCCATGTGATCTCCGTACTATTTATTGCAACACGCATTTAAAAAAAATGACAATTTGTCTACTTGGCTTTCTTTGAACCGAACAGAGAAATACTGGCTGCAAATTAAATGAAAACCATACAGCGATACAATTTACACTAGTATTGATGCTCATCATACATTTGAAAAGAAAACTTTTGGAGTGCCAGTAATATTTGACTTGCAATAAAACTCTTACTAAATACACTTCACATGCATACAATAAGGCTGTATAACGACTTGGCCGTAACCATACAACTACTATTATCAATGTAGTCTGCGACAGAATTAAATACGAACACAATAAATGGGGGGGGCAACATGATGTCATAACAACAATTCATCACAAAGTATCAACAGATTTTTTTTTTGTTGTAAACAAAAACAGAAGGCATCAACATTATCATGAAGTATTAATAATTATATCACAAAAATTGTACACTTCACTGACCATCATTATTCACCAAACAGCTGTCTAATTAGCCGAAACATATAGGATCTACTACCGACCAGCCACGTTTTAAGATACAACTGTTTTATTTAAATTTTTCTCCCCACTTTTTATAATTTTCATTATTTCACTTTGGCCTTGAATACATATTGAACACAACACAAATATTATATATAAATATATTGTCTGCATATTAGTCAGACAAGTTATGTTTTAAAAGACAACTGCTTTTGTCTCCATCCCCCCCTACCCCCTCCCAGGTGTAATAATTTCCAATGTTTCGCTTTGGCCTTGGATAAATTGGCAACACAATGCAAATGGAACATATCAACCAATCGTCAGCCCAAATTAACACAATGAGTTTATATATACACTAATTGGCACCGTTATAATACTAGGCTGGTAACAAGTACACTGATGGAGCTTGAGACACGCAAGAATACAGAGCTATTGAAAACAGAAAAATACCATTTTCAATTTGACTTTGCTTTCAAATGTTTGATACATAACGTTTCTTTCATTAATCAATATTCACATAGATTTAATTTTACATTTGGCCTATTTTCACCAAAGCCCTTCTTTTAGATTTTAAAACATATTTTGACAACGGCAAGGTCTGTTAATAAATGAATCAATTAAAATAAATAATATAAGAATGCTTCTTTCCGATGACTATTTCCACTGATAGGTAACTGCATAATTAAACGATCTTGTTAGACATACACTGCTAATATTTCATTCCCAAAATGCATTATTGCGCAATTTCTTTTCGATCATTCATTCAGGTAATTATAATCACACGCCACATTCAGATACATACAGGTATCCTTGCCTCACCTGCAATATTACGAAACAACAAAGCATGTCAAAACTGTAGATTGATTTATGGTATACAAATATCTTCCTTTTTTTTTAATATCAGTGATTTTCATGTCATATAACACTCACAGATGATATATAATTGAATTGCACAATCTTTTTTTGTCTGGCTGGAGATCAGATATGATATATATATATATATAGACTTATACAATTTATATTATGGAGACATCAAAACACTACCGCGTGTTCCTATACAATGAGATCCTTGTCTTAAAAAAAGTTTTTCCATCTGAATCTAAACAAGTTTGAATCAAAAGGAAATACAATTTCCCTACAAACTTTCATGAATTTTATTTAAAAACAATACATGAATCAAGTCTAATGCATTTCCAAATCTAATTGTGTATTTACATGCTAGACCAATCTTTAATTGTTTCCTCAATTACACAACTTTTCCCATTAACATACTGATACATGTACATGTTGATAGAGATATTCTGTAAAAAAAAATCAAAAAAATCTGTATTTAAATATTTTCAACATTTTTTGCCATTTTTCTTTTTTGTGATTTTTTTTTTTTTGGGGGTACAAAAAGGTGTCGCTAGTCCGGTAACCTTTTTTCTCTCTAGATCTTTCATCAAAAACCTTATTTTCAAGTAGAACAACATATTAAATCTTAAACTTAATGCCTTAATCATTTTGACAAAATAGTATCCTGCTTATTTACATGAATTAACTTGGAATGAATTCACAACTTGGGATAAACTGTACATAAATGAATTCATTTTTTGGAGATCCAAAATTCCAGAATCATGTGTAAAATTTCCGCATTCAAAATATAAAAATATTTAAAATTATGTATAAAACAAAAGATAAATTTACTCAATGTTTTCCAGATTGAGTCGGCTTTGGGGGAAAAAAATAATCTTGAATTTAAACAATGGCTACAGTACATTGAATACATAATGATCAATTGGTATATATAACAGATTTCAAAATTTGCAGAAAGACATAAAACTGGTGTTGACAAACTTTAGCTAAAATTACTGGATTTTTAAACAGAAGCATTAAAAATATACATGATTCATGATTTCTGTCTAAATATACAAAATTATAGCTACTTAAACACATTCACCCCTGAAGACACATTTGAACTCTTCCAATTTAAAGGTTGGTTTAGTTCATTACGAAATTTCAGGGGTGAATGGGTTAAGGGGAAAAAAAAACCAGCATCTTCATCTATGCTGCAAGTACTTGGCTCAATATTTCACATGAGCTTTTATCTTTATACTGTACATTGCTTAAATTTGGCAGTCAAACTTTCGTGATTTTCTTCTTGATACAGCATTCACAATCCACACAAATTTTCTAAGCTGCTAATACAACGAAATGAGAACCTCTGCAAAACGCAAGTTCTTCACAGTGTCCAAGACTTTCTCAGCAACACTCTTCTACATGTACACAAGTGGTCTAGGAAATCACCCAAACCTGGCTCCACACCAATATATATTCTGGTACGCAATTAACCAGTACCTCATTCAATCAACATTGCTGTTCAACAGTCTGATAATGATAATTTAGAATACTTTCTCTCCCCCACTTATGCCACGACTTACGGAGTACGACGTCTTTAATATGCTGCCATTAATGATCAATTACTCGGGATACAGGATATGCATAAATAAAATGTATTGTCTTCACTTGCTTATGTTGTTCTTGTTTTTTTGGGTGGTTTTTTTTTTGCAAAATCTGTGACAATAGCACAGAGCCATTTTTTTCATTTTGATATTTTTCTTCAAAAACATTGCACTGTGGCGAAACCTTCCCCAGTCTAGGATGAGGACAGATCGTGAACACTCGCTACTCTACACCATCTAACGAACACGTGGATTTCTCAAGTGTTGTCATTTGAATCTGATGAACACAACTCGTGCGACAGTTTTGCTTTCATATTTACAAATGCATCTGCACGGGATCCTTCATGGAAACCGGGATCTCACGTCTATGATCGCAACACTCGGGAGACCGTTATCCTGCATCTCTGCTCACAGCATTCACCTAGAACTGGATCCCACGGTTTTTGCTCCTTCATCCACGATCACGGTGGAGTTAAAAATGGATCCCACATCTAAACTCACGGCAGTCAAAGAGAACTGGATCCTGCGTCCAAACCCAAAAGTTGTCAACAGCCTAAAAACTGTGGCACTTAGTTTAGGGGTTAGTTTAGGGTTGTAGATTGTTTGGGACAATGCAGACAACCAGGCCTGGTCGGTACATTCGCTCACTCACATGTAGACGGGATTGAGAGAAAATGTCAGTTGATTATGTACAGATATCACAATGTCTGTCGCAGATATCACATGGTTCTGTGAAATACACATGAAGAAATAGTTCAGGAGTTTTCAGTTTGAGTGAACTCCATGTATTTTCTCCTGTGCACACAACTTTTGTTTCTCGCACGCAAACACTTTCATCAACATGAATCATCCAAACGTAGATATACCTATAATATATATACTAGCACATTTTCACACGCGAAAATTCTGTCGCTAGTCTATACTCTTCATGCACTCACTCTCGAGAAGGCCAGCGTTACCTGGCACTGTTGGTGTTATTTTGGTTGAAATCTCTACGGCCACTGCCTCCTCTGTTGTAATTGTTACTAGGGCCACCTGAATGTAACGTGTGTGAACCCTGACCTTGTCCTACACTGCCGCCACCGACACTGTTTTTGCGGCGCTTGCCTTGAGATCGGCAGTACACCTTGCTGCCCTGGTGTCCCCCGGGGGGATAGCGGTTCCCTTTACCCCCAGGGCCGCCACCCTGGGAACCAGACTGACTAGAATGTCCTGTGTGACCCGCCGGGCCAGCGGTGTTTTGGGGTGCATACTTTGGTACGGCCTCCACCACCGAGTGTTCATGATTGGGCACCGTAGCTGGTGTATTACTGGGTGTGCCCCGTGGAGTATAGGAACTGTTGTTGGAACGTGTGGACGACACACTGCTAGAGCTGGCATCCCGCGACTTGCTTGGACCGCCACCATGCTGCTTACTGTAGTCTCGACTTCGCACAAACTCACGGGTGGCGACGGTGGCGGAGCGGGGACTGGACTTGGTGGTGGTAGTCGTGGTGGTGGTGGTGGGCTGGACTGTTGTGTTCTTGACTGGTTCTTGCTGATGCTGAGGGTCGGGCTCGGAGTCCTACAAACAGAAATAAGTTTTGCAAATATATTTCTTATTGTCATTCATGCAACTGTAAAAGACATTTGTCATATTATTAATATGAAAATCTTAAAAGTTTCAAAATTGTACACCAGAACCCAGTTTTACTAAAAAAAAATACAATAAAAATTTCATTTTTTAAAACATGACAATGATTCCTCATTTCTGTAATTTACTTAATTACTTGTTTTTAAGATAACAAATGTGATTTATTTGCCATATTTTAAGTTGTGAAAATGACCTGGTGTAAGGATAATTATTTCATTTACATAATTTCATAGTGTACGCAAAAAAATAAAGTTTCATTTTAAACTTTATCCTTATAAGTAAATGCACAAAATTTGATGGATTAGAACCTATATCTGTGGCTTTGTTCAACCAATAGTAATATGTAATCTTTGGTTTTGTATTGCATCGCAATATTTATTGAATTCAATTTTAAAACAAATTATCATAGCTAAATCTATCATAAACAATAAATATCAATTCAGAAAGTTGTAATAGGTACATTTCATGCATTGTCAGACTTCAAACCAAATTAATTTTAACTCCTGCTTAATTATCCATATTACGATTTACATCTCTTTTTTATTAAAATTACCCAACCCTACTTGAGATGATTTCTCGGACTACAACAGTTAATGCTAAAAATAAGTCAAAACAAATATTGGTTAACATTATTGAGGTTAGGTTTAAATACATGAGTATCGTGCCGTTGAGACATAATGTAAAGCTTCAAACTTGAAGAAGAAGAAGAAAAAGACCTATACCTCATTGATTATCCGAAAATATGCACAAATCTTATCAGTTGGCAAACTTAACATGCGTCGGATTTGCATACGGAATTTGGTTGAAACATCTGATTAATATCTACAGCAATTATCACACGAAAACCAAAGAGTGCTCGAAATGGGTGTAAAAACAGAGGAACATAAACATTGTTATCAAGTTTGGAAGAATTTGGCTTATATTTGTTAGAGTTGTTACTGATAAGAAATTGCAGATAATGATGTTTTTCGTTACTCAAGGGACTTTATATAACTCTGCCAAATGGAGTCTGATTAAAGTGGTCATCGAACTTGGCCGAGCCCTTAAGGCATTGAACCCTGTGACCAACTTTGGAGAAGATTGGTTAACGTTTGTTTTAGTAATTACAAGGAAATGAAGCGCATTGACGTTTTTGTTATACAAGGGGCCATAACTCTGCCAAACGGGGGCCGCTGAAAGTGGTCATCGAACTTGGCCGAGCCCTTAAGGCATTTAATCCTGTGACCAAGTCTGAATAAAATTGGTTAACATTTGTTGTAGTTATTGCATGGAAACAAAGTGGGACAGACAGACGGACAAACCCAAATTAATATCCCCCGTTTCGGTGAAAGCAGGGGATAAAAATACATTAATAGGTACTAGACACAAGGTTTTCAGTATATTTTTTTTCAATATTCCAGTACTTGATGTCATATATTTGAATTCCACCCTTGGATGTTTCCCAATGACCATACAAACAAGCAAGGCTAGGCTAAAAGCACCAGACTACACGAGACTGGCAGAGACATGCGACGTGTTAACTTTCACCATATCTAGTATCAACTGTATACAAAGCTGGATTACAAACAAATTCTATCAACCCATCAATCACTACATGCCCAGAACATCACTTTGGACATGGCTCAAAAGTGCTGCCACTACAAGACTTGGATAGTTGAGTGCACATATCTAGTGTGCCAGTCCAATAAGAAGCTATACTAGGTAAATGATGCAAGTGTTGACAGCTCATTCCTATATCTGTTTGCCTATCACCATATAGGACGAGGTTATTGATACGAATGCTGTTGGCCTATCACCATATAGGACGAGGTTATTGATACAAGTGCTGTTGGCCTATCATTATATAGGACAGGGATATTGATACAAGTGCTGTTGGCCTATCACCATATAGGACGGGGTTATTGAAATGAATGGTGTTGGCCTATCACCATATAGGACGAGGTTATTGATACAAGTGCTGTTGGTCTATCATTATATAGGACAGGGATATTGATACAAGAGCTGTTGGCCTATCACCATATAGGACGGGGTTATTGAAATGAATGGAGTTGGCCTATCACCATATAGGACGAGGTTATTGATACAAGTGCTGTTGGCCTATCATTATATAGGACGAGGTAATTGATACAAGTGCTGTTAGCCTATCATTATATAGGATGAGGTTTTAGATACATGTGCTGTTGGCCTATTGCCATGCAGGAGTCTAGGGTTTGGACATGTGCATTGACTATACGACACTACAGAACACGTACGTAGGGGCTTTGGTTCTAGTTGTACTCACTGTGTCACTGGTGAGGCTGGAACTACAACTGTTGTTGGGGGAGGAGGTAGAAGAGGACTGGTAGGGCGAGCTAGAGTCCGACTGCTCAATAGATTCCATAGGACCTTCGGAGACCTTCACACTACCATTGCCTTGTCTGTAAAACAAACAGGTCGTGTTAGTGTGTGAATCTTACTCCTCAAAGCACAGGTCACTATTAGTAGCCAAGTGTTAAGCCTTATAGGCTACAGGTCAGTAATTTGTGGCCTTGAAGACTACGGGAAAATGTTAGTAGCTAAACTGAACCTCATATTATACAATTCATTTTTAGTAGCAAAGAATTTTGCCTTGTAGACTACAGGTCAGTTATTTGTGGCCTCGTAAACTACAGAAAATTGTTAGTAGCTAAACTTAATTTCATAAATACTATTTATTACAAGTTGCTAAACTGAACCTCTTTAGGATACAAGTAGCCAAGTTATATTTCTTGTAGGCTACAGGTCAATTATTCGAGGCCGCACAGACTACAGAAAATTAGTAGTAGCTAAATTGAACCTTTTTAGAATAGATATCACTGCCAATAGCTAAAATAGGCCTCACTGAATACAAGTCAGGGTTGGTAGCCGATAAACTTTGCCTTGAAGACTACTGGTAATGATCCAGAGTTAATTACTCCACAAACTACAACTTCCCTTCAATCTATTCCTCATTTAGGAATAAAACTGATTTCAGTTCAATGTATCAGCACTCATCCTTGTAAACCCAGCTAGTCAGTATTTGTTGATCACTAAGGCAACATATTTGATTATCTTTTAATACCTTATTTAGGTTTATTCATGCATGTTTCATCTATTTTTTATTGTATCTCTTGGAGTTATTGTCAATATTTGTAGGAGTTCTCAAGACACAATTGCTTCTCATTGTGGGGTTTGGAGATATTATATTAAAAAAATCATTTTTAAATGTTTCTTTAACCCTTTCACCCCTATGTAACTTTAGTAGACTCTACCATACATTGATATGGACAAGTCCATTATGGCCTACAGTGGTGAAAGGGTTAAGTTGTCTTTAAAACCAGAATTTTAACAATGTATATAAATCATAACAATATAAACATTATTCATAAATATAATTTACAGTGGAAACCCAAAAGTGACCACACTACAGGTTTACCCAGTTCAAATAGCCCGACACTTCTAACAGCTTAATTATGTAGGGGCTGATAAAAAATGTCTTTATAACATACATACACTGTTCTCCCACCTTCAGCTATGATGGAAATGGAGAAGTAAGTGAAATGGAAAATATAAGTTACATGGACCTTCAATTAATCTATTGGTGTATAGTATTCCTCGAAGTGCAACAACATATGAATTTTGATGACCGACAGGCTTTTTATTATCTTAGTCATGCAGCTAAACGCAAAGTCTTACTTAATTCAGTGAAAACACTGACCTACATTTTATCACATACCTGTTGAATCTTGCTATAGAAATACAAGCAATTTTTGGACCATGAAATAGAACATTGTGTATTGCACATGTGCAATACACAATGTTGTATTTACTTACTAGCCAGAACTACTTTTTATGGTAATCCCCTTGTCATGGCGAACTGAAAGTTCCCAGTATTTGCAAAAAATCTCAAAGTTTATAAAATCTTATATATCTATATCAATCTCTACCAAATACGGAAGGTATGTGATAAAAGCAAGACCACACACTTGTGTTTTTCTAACAAATTAGAAAGCACAAGTTTATTGCGCGGACGTATATATTCACTTGTGCGGGGAAGGCGCACTCGTGAATATATTCATCCGAGCAATAAACTTGTGCTTTCTAATTTGTTAGAAAAACACAAGTGTGTGGTGTTGCATATTTCTATACTCTTTAGGAGTATTTAATTATGAAAATTGATGATTATTGGACTTCCTAGTATTCATAATGGACCGAAGTCCAAAGTAAAACAAAAATGTCAAAAAGAAGCAAACAACTTAAAGCCCCCTCCACTATTTTGCAGGGGGGGGTAATTAAACCTTTTAATTACACTATTGTCATCTGGATTACAACATTTTGCATTATAACAGGTGTTACAATAGGAAATCTATCACAGGCAATGTACGAAAGAATTTTTAAGAAAACAAAAAGCTGAAGTAAATTATATCCCACCAAGTCTGTTAGCATATGAAATTATCTCAAATTTACTTTGCAATAAATAATAAAAGTCTTAAATGACCAATCTTTGAATTGTCAAATTCCAATTTACACAATTTAACAGTTAAAATAACCATTTTTAAATGTATTTATTCATGTTTAAATCTAGAAGTTGTATGCTGCTGTGTAGTTCAGACCCCAAGCGGCACTCACCTGTTTTTTACATCTCCAGCCTCTGTGCCATGTTTTGGACTGCTGTTGGCCACGCTAGCATAGCTGCGTGTTGTGTTGTTGTTGTTGTTCAGGTTATTGCTAGTATTGTTGTTTTTCGAGTCGCTGTTACAGCTGCGGTTGTCAGGGCTAGGCTGTATCATGGGGTTGTTAGCGATGAAGATGGGGAAGGTGTCCTTGATCCACTTTCGATAGTCTACCACCTCATCGGTTACTCGAACTATCCTACCCAGTATACTACAAAACAAACAAATAAGTGGTTGCAGCAGGCCAAGGGGTTAATCAGGGGGGTTTGGTTAACAACAACTTCGGATAAAATTGGAAAGTTTCATCGAGGTAAGAACGAGGCAAGAACAATTTTTTAGAAATCTGAGTGATCATTATAACAACTCTGAATAAATTAAACCTTTTTATAATGCTACCATTTGTCCAGAGAAATTTCAACGGAAATTTTACAAAACCCTGTTCCTACATGAATTGGGAAAATAAAGCATTATTTTTGTTGAAATGGGCAATATGTTTCTGAACAAAAACTTAAAATCAACAGTGGTCCCCAAATTGTGAATTATAATGTCAAAAAGTTTGGAGATTCAGAGACTTGATTTGGAATAATACTTAGTGCTAATATTGAACCTTGGTGATCCTACATATTAAAAGACTTGTAGAATATTTTACACAATAGTTCCGTGGAGATTAAAATGTTCAAACTAAATGGTAGACCTATAAACAATCACCATGACCAGGTTGTCTGTCTGCGATGTTATTTCCTATGATGTGTGATCTTCAATCATAAGTAAAGTAGCGAGCAAAAATGTGCTCTGTTAACTTACTCTTTTCCTTCCTTTTAAAACATATTTTCTTAATTCCACATAAAAATATGTAAAATTCTTGGCCATACTATGGTCTATGAAAAATGTATATCTCAAAGAGGCTGTATTGTCTATGGTCTAAATTCTACGACTGAGATTACAGTCGTAGCCAATCATCTGGATGTCCTTACCTGTGATTTGGTCGGAGTATGTGGCTGTTCTGTGGCATCACAGTGTACGTCATGACTAGGTAGGCATACTCAAATGACTGTTTGACTTTCATAGCACCATACGAACTACGACCAATGTCGTTACCTGCAAAACAATTAATACTTTACAGCTTGTCCTCACAAAAAAAAAACATCCCACAAATTTAACACAACTGTATTGAGTAGACTTCCACCTGAGAAAGATAAAGACACTGACTTGTAGTCTAACTAAATTCGATAATTTTATATCAATAACATTCAATAAAGACTATTCCAGGACCCTCGTGTTCTGTGTATGGGTATGTAATCGACAGAAAACCAAACTACAAACAGGAGTGATTCACGTTTTCAAATGAAAGCAAATTAAACATGCATCACAAAATAATTATTCATTTTTTACATTGTTCCACCTAAAAACTTTCCAGCAGGATTTGAATTTTCAAAAGGAATAGTTAATAGACAAACTTCAATGTTTTAAAAAGGTAAATCGGCACACCTTCATGAAAATATTATAAAAGCAAAACATCAAGTACTGCAACATATTTACTTCATAACTGGAAATTTTCATTGCAGTTTTAATTTTCCCTTTTTGTTTCGACCTATGGGATGAGGATTAATTTATCACGACAGCAAATATAAGTACCCAATTGAACATATCTAACCATGCATAGTTAGTTTCATATGAAGGTTGAATACCAGTGAAGGGCATTACGTTTTGAGCCAGTGGTATTTTACCCAGTATACAGTAACTTTTCTAGGGGCTCTTGTGTGGCAGGAAACTCTTCTGAAATGGAGGTGCATGTAACAGCAAGGTAGCATACACCCTTAATGAAGTCTATAATGATTAGCTTACCCTCTGTGAGGGGATCCTCTATACAAAGAAGGGATGGCCTGTAGCCGCTATCCATGCTCTTCTGTATCTCCTCCTTCCTGATGTAGGCTCCACCCTTCTTGATGCGTATGCCGGTGTTGATGTAGTTGAAGTTCCTTCCATAAAGTTCGAAGAATTCTATCAGCAGTACTCCGAGATTTGCTTCTGGACTTGTGGCATCGTAGCGGGGATGAAGCTACAAGAATTTGTTCATGTATAACACATTTTGGAGGACTTAACCCTTTCGACTCTGTAGACCATAATGGACTCATCCAGATCAATTCATGGTAGAGGTTATTAAAGTTACATAGGGGTGAAAGATTTTAAATGTCCCCATTATTACACCACAAATATCATGCTACAACCTGACCGCAATTGCACAACTGCTTCTTTCTGTATTGATCAACCTGTCTAGACAGACCCCTAGTCCTTAGATTAAAACCATTCGTTGCTTTTTCCTTATACAGTCCCTATAATGGGGATTCATGGAATAAATTATTACTGTACCAACTTGACTCCATTTAAACGGTGAAAGATTACACATATTTAAGTTAATGGATATTTTCAACAGGAAAAAAAATGCAAGTATTATCGAACGAGCTGTGATACACCTCCTCGACAATGCCACATCAAGTCAAATACAACACATCCAAAGTGATTATCCAGACATAAGTCTGAATGAATTGACCTTTAACCCTTTCAACTCTATGTAACTTTAGTAGACTCTACCATGCATTGATCTGAATGAGTCCATTATGGTCTAGAGGTGAAAAGGGTTTTAAGCACAAACTAGTGAGTTTTAGAGGACCTTGTTATAATACATCCATCAATGTAGTCACATCAAGAAATACTCAGATATTATGTGAGCAGCATATACAGACTTAACCGAAATTCCCAAAAGATGTGTGTTTTTTTTAACTCATTTCCACCGGAAATTCCATAACGAACTACTCCAACCTTTGAATTGGAGGAGTTCAACTGTGTCTTCAGGGTTGGATGAGTTAATTGACAACAAAATCATTATAATTTTGAAGACTTAAAAATATTTATATGAAGTTCTTGCTTAACACTTGAGTTCAAACCCGCATTTCTTCAGACACAATTTCATGAGCATGAAAATAATTTGGAAATTTTGTAAGATTTGATGATAATCCAGTGAACAATGTCTGTCAAGAAAAGAAAGTCTTAACTTCCATTTTCGATAAAATGGCTTGGAGAGGGGCAAGGATGATTGTAGCCCAAGTTTACCTGGAGGAAGCTGACAGTCAGGTAGATGAGGCTGTAGGAACTAATACCACCAGTAAACACCTCGTTGAGGTCCCGCTGTAAAAGGAACTGCTTCAACACCAACACCAGGTACTTCAGGTTTGGGAACTGCTCCATGAAGTTCTGGTAAACAAATTAAAGCAAAGAGTTAGTCTTTAAGTCATCATCATCATCCCACTTGAAGGCAGTCCTTGATGATAGATAGATGGAAATTGATTCTGGTAAGTTATTTTTAGCATCTCTGAAAGCCGTTTCTAGGTGCCTTCCAGGGGGGGGGGGGGGGGTGTTGATTTTCCATTTCCATTTTTTTTATATATATAAACTGTACATATCACAAAAAGCAAAGCTGAGAAATAAAACATTAATATCTATTTTCATATTAACTCATTCACCCCTGAAGACAGTTGAACTCTGCCAATTCAAGGGTTGGACTAGTTCATTATGAAATTTCAGGGGTGAATGAGTTAACTTCTACATGTCTCAAAGGATGCAGCCCCCCCCCCCCCTCTCCTTAAGAGTTTCCACTATAAATAGGTGGAAATAAAAAACACTAATGATGACACAGCAGTAAGCTATCACAACAGGACTTCCTTGACAACAAATCTGTAACTATGCAAACACCAGGAAAACTACAACAACTTATAGTTTGTCTGGAAAAATCTTAAAAGCCGGCTCAATTTTAATACCAGCTTAATACGGCGGAAACAAAAAGATCACCACGTCTTTAGAGATAGAATCCCACGATACTGGTTAAGACTTGATAGGATTACGGCACCCGAGGCCAAGCTCAAGTCAAATGGTTTGAAACTACCCTTATTGACTAGATAATAGCAGTAGTAATTTAATATTTTCAATGTCCTTAAAATGTCCTGGCATCTCTATTTAAGGTCATTCTAGCATCTACCCAAAGGTTTTGTCATTATTTTGACAAAGGTCATTATGTAATGCTATATATTCATGTTACCTTGATCAGTGTAGCACTTTCCACCGAGTTCTTGGTATTAAAGCTGATATCCACCTTGATGTCGGTCTGCAGGTCTGTGAGTTTGACTATAGGGACCTGTAACATAAATTGCTACGTACTTATTTCATAACTACTGTGATGCACAGTTAATACATACAGCTTGATCACCATTTAATTACCTTCCTCCCATGCCTTGTGAATGTTGTAAACATTCTATATATAATATATATATTTAAGTCAATTTCTTTGTTACACCATATCATATGTGTTCTTATTAAAGACAGGGAGTGCAGATCTCAGGAAGTATTTGGAGCGTGGGTGCAAAGAGTAGCAACCCCTGAAACCTGGTTTTCATCATGAGTATTTTTCATTTGCATTTGCCTGGTTGTCGACAAAAGGTTCGACCTGCTAGGCCTGGCTAGCAGACCAACCAACATGTCAGCAAACAGCTGCTGGCAAAAGAAGAATGTATAAGTGATGGACATCAGGCTTCTGAATTTGTTTCTTATCTCTTCACTTATTATGCTGGAATCACAGATATTAAGAGGGCTCTGCATATTGTAAGTGTCACCCTGGAAAAATACTGGCAACTTCCTACCATCTCAGCTAGGATTAGAAAGAATCTCTTAAGCTCTATCAGTAGAGCACAGAACTAGTAAACAAGATGTCCTGGGGTCGATTCCTAGCGGTGGCATCAGAAAAATAATAACCTCTGTTACATAAGGTAACCTCCTGAAACCATGAAAATGAATTAATACACAGATACATGTAAATTTATCTCATGTCACTTCTTCGGGATCTGGCCCTACTTCCTTCATGACAAAACCTGTGTAGAAAAGTAGTTAAAACGTATCCATGAGCATGGGTTTGTGGCCAATTAAACAGGGTATGTACTTACGGAAGCCTTGTCCAACACCTTGATCGAGGCGTGATCAGTGTAGCCCTTGTCAAGGAGTGCTTTCTGTAGCATGAACAGAGGAGGAGATTTCCACTTCCCAAACACAACCAGATCTATATCACTGTACACAAAACAAACAGAAAATTCACGGTGAGTTTTGCAAAGCACTGTTGCAATGTATGTTTCTTGGGACTCGTGGAAATTCCTAAGTAAATAAGTGGACTTTGCAAAACAAAACAAAAATCTGCAGTGTTTCATGAAAATGCAAAATAGTATAATGATTTTTATCATGTAAAAATGCATATAACTTATGTCTTAAAACCTTTCATATACTTTTATTATTGGTATATGCATTCATGCATGAACATTTTTAATAACATATATGCTGATCAATGAATTTATTTGAATGAAAATTAAATCACACCAAAAAATTGTAAAAAATCTGATTTCTACATGGTTCACTATTGTTGTGTATATATAGCAGCATGCTACAATGTATTGTATAATCAATCATGCTGTGCTATAAAAATATTTTTCCCTCTAAACAGACTTGATATAATCCTACACCCCGACTTCTGTAGGATGCACTGGAGCCTTCATTCTCCACCAACTTACCTTGTGGGTAGGTATAAGCCCGTTTTGAAGCTGCCAAAAATTTCAACCTGCAAGGAAAATATTTTTTCTTTATTAAATATCAATCATTTCAACAAAATTGAAATGTTGAGGCCTTCAAAGTTAGGTTTGGAACTTTTCCTCGTTTTGATTTAAAGACATGGATGTTTAATAAACACTTGCTCAAAAAATAATTTTGAAACACTTATAAAACAAATAATTCAATAAATAGGAAAAGAATATGCCACCATATGAAGAACAACACTTATAAGCTATAAACATATGCTCATAGGTCACCCACATTATCTGCTCATAGGTCACCCACATTATCTGCTCATAGGTCACCCACATTATCTGCTCATAGGTCACCCACATTATCTGCTCATAGGTCACCCACATTATCTGCTCATAGGTCACCCACATTATCTGCTCATAGGTCACCCACATTATCTGCTCATAGGTCACCCACATTATCTGCTCATAGGTCACCCACATTATCTGCTCATAGGTCACCCACATTATCTGCTCATAGGTCACCCACATTATCTGCTCATAGGTCACCCACATTATCTGCTCATAGGTCACCCACATTATCTGCTCATAGGTCACCCACATTATCTGCTCATAGGTCACCCACATTATCTGCTCATAGGTCACCCACATTATCTGCTCATAGGTCACCCACATTATCTGCTCATAGGTCACCCACATTATCTGCTCATAGGTCACCCACATTATCTGCTCATTTTACCCACAATGTAACAACATTACAAATTAATTATTATTGCACATGTTGTAATTATGTAGACTTTGTGGTCGAACCCCTTGGCAAACCTGTTGACCATCCTACATCCTAAAATATAGTTTTCATACCCTCAATAGATATCAGTCATACGTCATACAACCGATATCTAATTTAAAGGGAAAAAAGGTTTGCAATGCAAGATAATAATGTTTCATTCATAGTTTTGTTTAATGTGAGCAACTGCATGAATTAATTTATATAGCTACTAATGTTACATCAGAACTGCATATAGATCACTATTGAGAATGGATGATAATGAAATCTGCTTGTTCGTTGCACTTAAATGACCGGGGCAATACTGTACTCTCCAGTTCACAATCTGAAGTTTGGAAATCCTGCAAGCTTCATCCCCGATTTCACCGAGCAAGACCATTGGACAAAATGTTCACATCTCCTTTAGTAGTGACATCTTCACACAATAAGATAATATTCATAGATAAGGCTTAAGAATATGACATACCGAAGCATCTTTCCAGAGGTCCTTGACCACCGACCGTATCCTCTGTACGACCTCTGCCCTCATGTTGGCTTCCTCTTGTGTTGGAGACATGTACATGAAGAAATCCTTGATTTCCTCATGCAGACTGTGAACAAAGATGTTGAGATCACTAATAAAACTTGCTACTGACAAGTTTTCAAAAAATAAAATACACCAGATTTACACATCAGGAAATACTTGCTGGAAATTACTCCCCCTCCTGTTAATGAGTACATTTATAATTGTCATGATGCTGATTTTACTATTGAGCTTACTGTAATATTATTTGTATTGTAAAAATAATACTGTGCTTTTATAAATCAACCAACAGGTGAATAATTCAGGGGGGGGCCCAGGTGAGCTCAAAATCTTCTAGTTTTCTCAAATATATAGCTTTAATGCAGATTGTGGATATCGTAAGTAAACAAGCTGTATATGTACGAAAAACTGTAAAAATCGGTAAAAAAACAAACCATTTCCTGGGATCAATTAATCTAGACTTGATTCACTATCGTTTATGAGTAGTTTACACTACAAATGAAAATTCCCCTTTTCTTTGAAATTCCCCATAAATATACATATGTATATGTGCTTCAAAATTCACCTATTTCAACCAGAAAATAACGATCTTTTCTTCAAAATATTTCCCCTATATATGTTTTCTTTTAATTTCAATAGTTTAATTTTTTTAATTGATGGTTGGTTTGACAAAAAAAACTGAAAACTATGTGATCCGCATAATATATGATTAAGTTTGATAACATTCTGACAACATGTACACCTTATTATAAATGACAGTATATCGGGATATGTATGGCAATATATTCATTATGTATTGCAATATATCGTGATACACTCTTGGTGAATTGCAACACCCCTATTATACCCTACCTACCATAATACTTAGTGACCCTAAAATGTACTTTTTACTAGACTTAAATCACTCTTCCATGTTAACTTTATCAAAATGAAACAAAAACAAAATTACCTTCCTACCCCAATTTTTCCAGACATGTAACAGGAAACAGATTTGTTTTGGCCTAAATACTTAATTGTAACATGATAAAAACTTGGCAGATTACACCTTATGTAGGCCTAGGTCAATAAGTAGATTACAGAGACCAGATAACAAACTGTCAGAATTGTAATTGTGTACTGTCTACATATTATAAACAAATTTATTATTGACATGATAATGTTTAAAGGTTTTTTTTAAATTTGACGTCCTATTTTACAGCTATGGCCTCTTTATTCAGACAGTAAGAATCAACTTACATAATAGAACTATTTGTTTTCCTACAAATTCCTTAGATCATTGGAAAATGTGAATATGCCCGCAAATTACAAACATTTGAAAACATCACAAATGTTCTTTAAATTCCAAGTTGGTGATGTAAAAGTTGAATCATTGATTCCTAACCTCTGGTTATGCTTGCTAAAATTAACATATATCATAAGATGTCTTTGTTAATTTTTAATAAGGTTTCATTTCTATGCTTTTATCATGACAGAGTGGAAAAATACAACCATTAACCCATCAGGTGGTATTAAAAATTATATTCATATTGGGCACACCTATGGAAGGTTGAAAGTTATGAAAAACCTCAGGATAAAATATAATGACCCAATTTTTGTGAAACGACTAGAAGTAAAAGAAAAAGTGAAACTGAAAACATATCGAACTTAAATTACCAGAAAAGAAAAAGATTTCAGAAAATACAATATGTATGTACAAATGGTTATTTCTGTGTTCTATTCTTACACATTGTGGCATGACTTCATGTCGAAAATACGCAACCTATTTATATAGTACTGTATACTGAACACACATGAAGTCACTTTGAGGGATGCGTGTCGGTGTGTCACCGTGTGTTAGTACGGGTGATCGGGCTCAGCCGTTGAAAGGATTACAAATTATCTTTAAAACCTCAGTATAGTTAATTAAATCAATACCTGTATCCAAAGCCTTTTTTAAGGTTTCACCTACCGTTACATATAAACTGATTATGTTAAAAGTATTTCTTTTAATTAAAGCAGAAAATCTACCATTATCTTCCGACGATTTCCCCATGGGAGCCTCGCCTTATTTAAAAGTTCTTGCACAACACATGTGCAGCCATGTTCCGTCGATTGTCATTTCAATGACGATGCTAATAAACTGACAATTAAGACACCGTGAAAAGATACACAATGGTAAATCAAACAATATTGTAGACAATAATCTATACAAACCCAATGACATCTGGTTGATATTTCTTTTTCTTGGGCTTCCAAGGGGTGAGGCCGCCATCTTCCTTTAATAAATGCTTGTACGACGAATGGTTCAAACCGTATGTACTGGCACGATTGTCTCTTTTTCGTTTGAAACTGTTTTCCTGATTATGGATACTATTCTGTCGATTCGTCGGAGCAGACTTATGGTCAAAATTGTTCGTTATATCAAGAGGAATAAACTCGGCAGGCTTATGATCCAAGTTAGGGTTAGAGTTATTGAGAGACATGTTATCAACGCCTATCTGAGCCTCAATTATCCTTGTCCACACATCATGAGCAACTCCTAACTGTTCCGGCGGATACCAAGCAATTCTTGGATCCATATAGTCAATTTGAATGAAATATTCAAGTCATTCGTTCGTGCCGTTAATTCGTCAGGAAAACTTACTTTACCGAAGCGGCTGTCACTTTTTTCGAATTTGCAGAGGATGGCTGCCACTGCGCAAGTCCAAATAGGGTTCATGCATATATCGAATCGAAGGATTATTTACGAACGAAAACCTTGCAAGAACTACACACAATATCCGGCTTGTTTTGTCTTTAAATATTGTTTCATCAAAGCATTATCGCAATACTAAACAATATAACATATTTAGAAAAGGTTAATGATGATAAACACAACACATATGTGCTATTGATGGTGAATTGCGTTTCGTAGTAAACGACCAGGGTCTGATAAATGAAGCACACTTCACGGGGGAAGCATGTAGCCGGATCCTTTTGACAGGTCTTTAATTGAGGCCCACACAGGGGTTTTACGACGATTGTCTTCAATATTAAATTTGAATTTGTGAGTGGTTGCCTCCCCTCCTGATTGGCTGATTGGTTGATCGATATTTTTAAAATTATTGGACACGTGTTCCAGGGGTTGACTTACCTAACATTTGTATAGTTAAGCTTTATGTATACGACTATGGACTTGGGTAACCATCATGCCATTATTCGTAAAGTTCTACAACGTACTGTATACAATGTAAACCTAATTTCGTGGTACGACTTTACAAAGGAATTAGTTTCCAGACAAAATATATAACAGTAAAATTTCAGAGATAGAATACCCGAATTAGGAGAATATTGGAATTACATGCAGTACATTGTACAAGGGATAAGAAGGTATGCTAACGACGATGGACTTGTAGTCACCCACGCGTACGTCTAACTACACGTATTTAAATTGGGTAGTTGCCAAATATCTATAATCCATTATTTCATTCTATTATCATAACAGTTATTAGTACATAAACTACTCTCATAACTTTCTATTTTATTTATTTGTTTATTAAAATCAGAGACATATAAAGCCAGTAGTATTTTAGGGGGGGGGGGGGGGGGGGGGNGGTATATAACGTTACAGCTCTTAATTAATAATATCAACTAAAGAGTAAAAAAGGAAAAACTGAAAATACATTAATATACAAACTACATGTTGATTAATCATAGCGGAAACGCTTAAATCTATTATACGTACATTCCCAACATAATTCAAAATTCAATCACGTATGAGTGAAAATAACATTACATCTAGTTCTAAAACATTTCTATAAATGTGATACAAAATGAAAAAAGAAATCATGAGGCTATAGTAGCGATCATATATTAACTTAACTCCAATTTAACTTCAAATCTGTTGGCCGTTAGATTATGAATAGCCGCCGCTTGATTGATCGTGACCTCAAAAAATCACCTTATAAAACTTTCAAAAATAGCCGGTCCGACCTAATCTACGATATGAAATCTTCTCACTTCCCATTTACTTCAAAGTTGGTGATCCGTAAATCTAATGTAGTTTTGACCAGTCTTAACACGGAATTAGATTTAGTCGAGGTCTCAGACATTTAAATGCAGCTCAATGATATATATTTTTTTACAGCGACTTAATAGATTCACCCCATGTGTATACGCGGTCATCACAAAGAAAACAATTTACAGCATTTTAATTTGTCATGCTACAAAGATGTTTAAAACAAGAAATAACTTGATGAACAAGATGGATCTATTGTCAATCTATCTAAGACTGCTGTTGTGGGAAGACGACGAAATATCGAATGGAGAAAACGCTGACATGTTCATTTTCGTCCAACAATTTTGTTTCAGTGTCTGACGTTTCTCTTAGAAATACGTTCTTCTCACTTTCCTCTCTTTAATTAAAAGCATTTTTTTAAATTTCTTTATATATTTCTTACTTACATAATGTTATGCATGGAATGTATGAAGGGGAAGGGACTCGATAAGTTCTGTAACATGTTTTAACGGAAATACTCGAACTGTTTTTTATGTTATTTTTTAAGTGTTTTTTTTTTTTTGTCAAATACTCGTGTAATAATAATGTGATTTGTTATTGCATTAATTTTTAAATCTTTGAACAGATAATGTGACCTGGTTTCTCTTCCGATTGAGGAAAACCAAAAGTCCATGACAAGTTTCCTTACTTTTCGGTGTCTCATTTCTTCCAGTTTTCGTATGATAAGTCAGGGTACCGATTTTGGTCCAAACGCCATCGATACTCCTGGGTAATCAACACAGGTTTTCCATGTTTCCTGTGACGTAAAAATTTCAAGCAATTAAGGACTACGATTTTAATTGACTGTTGTCATTGGTCGACTATTTACCGATTCAAATTTAAATATTTTACAAACGAAATCGAAAAAAGGTTTTTTAACTTTGTGTTTGGCTAGGGTACGTTGATGACTCATGAGGCCAACAAAATGTGTGTTTCAGGTATCCTGACTTATCCTAGATTTTCCTGTCGACCCTAGAAATTGTATCTTTAGTCAGGCAAAGTTCATAACCACTCATTTAAATGTATTTTCTTCCTTTTCTGGGCGTCTGACCATATTCTTGACAAAATTATAGTCATTGTAATGTGTAAAAATTGCATTGTAAACTTTGCTATATGATATTGATCCATGCAAAAAGAAAAGAAAAATAGAAATATTTGCCTACCGACTTACCCTAGACTATTTTTTGGCAAACCCAAGTTGAATTCATAATCAGTTATTGGCCGAAACTACATTGGAATGGCCAGGTGAGAATTGCTGATTGGCTGTGGGCCAAAAAAAGCGTTGTTCACAGGTAAATAATCAATGACGTAGTCGGTAAGGCGAATGACCTCCGCGGTTAAACTGTGAAATTGAAATTTCCTGTTATTTGGAAATTGACATTTCAGAAACTTGATATAAAGCCTTGGTAATTAAATGGTGGAAACCATCACAGGGACCTGAGAATGTGTTACAGTTTACCTATGTTTGGACCTAAACTGAAGTTATTTAAGTTAATATTAGACGTTTTAGAAATTTAAACCAACTTTTTGTAAAAAGTTTTTGTTTTCTTTTTCTCGGACTAAAAATCTAAGTCGTTGATATTTTCATTTACATCACGGGCCTCGATTAAGATGGACATCAATTTCTTTGGTAGCACGAACTTGGATAGATGTAACAGATTGTATTAAAAAAATCTATATACAGTGAAAGAAAACATGATTTCTCGTACCTATAATTAGTGGCATTTAAATAATTTAAAGATCCACGCGCCACTGAAAAAAACCTGTAACTATGCATTGGGATATGTCTGTTCCGGCAAAACTATAGCTTTGATAAATCATTTCAGAAAAGAAAATCATACCTCCCTGTATACCTTTATGAAAAAACCCAATAAAGGTGGTATGTTTTGAGTTTTTAAAAACAGCATGAAGGGGAGACCGAGATTCGAACCCCGGACTTAAGATTGTTATACACTATCGCTCAAACCGACTGTGCTACCTAGTCAACCCAAGTTTCATGACCCAGCTGTGCTACAGTTATATCCAAAACGAAATTAAAAGTACGACAATCCAAAGTGAAGTGGGACAGGGATTTTTAATTAACAAAATAAACTCTAATAAAACAGATGTATGGTATAGCAAGAAAAGACACAAGTTTATTTTTACATGATATTAATTAAGTAGAAATATAATTATTTATCAGTATTTTACATATTTGTGTTAATGATTGCAACATTCATAGGTCAACCAATTAATAATTATCACATCATATAACATTTCACCAAAACGTCACGCAATATACGGATGTACTCCGAAAACCAACATTTTACTTTTTTTTCTTCCTTTTTAAAAAAACCCTGAAAACGACAAAACGAGCCAATAATGGTGGTTTTATTCCAAATATAACAAATTCTATCCAAACAAATAGTTAAATAAATAGAAGTTTTACTCAGAGGACACTTAATACATACGATATCAATGCATCATATCAATCCAAAATAGGCATATCAATAAGATATAATCACTGTTGTCTTACGAGACATCGTACAATACAAATGTATATATATAAAAAAAAAAAACAACATTATACGTTATCATCATTTAGAAAATTATCACCGTATTTGTAACACTGTTTAAGATAAAACATGAAGATTGGTTTAGCAAACATAGTTTTTTTAATACACAATATTCATAAACATACAAACATGGAAGGAATCTGTATTTCGTTTCTCGTAAAAATATGTTTAATACAAAAATGATTTTTTTTTTATAAATAACTGAGAAGCATAGACGATATATATATTTAGATATTATCATATGTCAATTTCCATATCCATCCCCATATCGACTGCATCCCAAGAGCCGCTAGTCCCGAGGGCTAATAATATGGGTCGAGGGTTGATACGGGGTAGGATATAGAAATGGGCATATGATAACGTTTTCATTATTTATATACTAAACACAAAATTTAGCACCTCATCAAAATTATAAGCAATATCTGTAAATATTTGTAAATGTGTTGAAATGGTCAAATATGGGTTGGTCCGGGTTATTGCCTATGCACAGGAAGATGTAACGCACGTGCAAACATACAATATCAAGGACAATACAAATTGAATAAATAAAAAATGAATAAAAAAAGAATAAATAAATATCACAGGTATCTGCTGACAAATGAGCAGCAATGAATGAAATTAATTACATTAATACGATCATTCTTTTCTTTTTTAAAGGTAACGTTGGTCAGGAGTTTCTCTAGCGGAACAGGTAGTCGGCGATCTGATGACGTCACACCTGAGGTGATTGGTGCGTTCAAGGAATTAGCATTTGTAATGATTATCGAAAATTAAGATTGTTAATGTGGTATATAATTAGAACGTAGGATGGTATATCAGTGTAGGATGGTATATCAGTGTAGGATGGTTTATCAGTGTAGGATGGTATATAAGTGTAGGATGGTACATCAGTGTAGGATGGTACATCAGTGTAGGATGGTATAACAGTGTAGGATTGTACATCAGTGTAGGATGGTGCATCAGTGTAGGATGGTATAACAGTGTAGGATGGTATAACAGTGTAGGATGGTATAACAGTGTATGATGGTATAACAGTGTAGGATGGTACATCAGTGTAGGATGGTATATCATTGTAGGATGGAATATCAGTGTAGGACGGTATATCAGTGTAGGATAGTGTAGGATGGTATAACAGTGCAGGATGGTATAACAGTGTATGATGGTATCACAGTGTAGGATGGTACATCAGTGTAGGATGGTATAACAGTGTAGGATGGTATATCAGTGTATGATGGTATATCAGTGTAGTGTAGGATGGTATATCAGTGAAGGATAGTATATCAGTGTAGGATGGAATATCAGTGTAGGATGGTACATCAGTGTAGGATGGTATAACAGTGTAGGATGGTATATCATTGTAGGATGGAATATCAGTGTAGGATGGTATATCAGTGCAGGATGGTATATCAGTGTAGGATGGTATATCATTGTGGGATGGACTATCATTGTAGGATGGTATAACAGTGTAGGATGGAATATCATTGTAGGATGGTATAACAGTGTAGGATGGGATATCAGTGTAGGATGGTATAACAGTGTAGGATGGAATATCATTGTAGGATGGTATAACAGGGTAGGATGGTATATCAGTGTAGGATGGTACATCAGTGAAGGATGGTAAATCAGTGTAGGATGGTATATCATTGTAGGATGCTATATCAGTGTAGGATGGTATATCAGTTTGGATGGTATATCAGTGTATGATGGTATATCAGTGTAGGATGGTATATCATTGAGGGATGGACTATCATTGTAGGATGGTATAACAGTGTAGGATGGGATATCAGTGTAGGATGGTATAACAGTGTAGGATAGTATATCAGTGTAGGATGGTATATCAGTGTAGGATGGTATAACAGTGTAGGATGGTATATCATCGTAGGATGGAATATCAGTGTAGGATGGTATATCAGTGAAGGATGGTAAATCAGTGTAGGATGGTATATCATTGTAGGATGCTATATCAGTGTAGGATGGTATATCAGTTTGGATGGTATATCAGTGTATGATGGTATATCAGTGTAGGATGGTACATCAGTGAAGGATGGTAAATCAGTGTAGGATGGTATATCATTGTAGGATGGAATATCATTGTATGATGGTATAACAGTGTAGGATGGTATAACATTGTACGATGGTACATCAGTGTAGGATGGTTTAACAGTGTAGGATGGGATATCAGTGTAGGATGGTATAACAGTGTAGGATGGTACATCAGTGTAGGATGGTATATCAGTGTAGGATGGTATATCAGTGTAGGATGGTACATCAGTGAAGGATGGTAAATCAGTGTAGGATGGTATATCATTGTAGGATGGTATATCAGTGTAGGATGGTATATCAGTTTGGATGGTATATCAGTGTATGATGGTATATCAGTGTAGGATGGTACATCAGTGTAGGATGGTATATCAGAGTAGGATGGTATATCAGTTTGGATGGTATATCAGTGTATGATGGTATATAAGTGTAGGATGGTAAATCAGTGTAGGATGGTATATCATTGTAGGATGGAATATCAGTGTAGGATGGTATATCAGTGTAGGATGGAATATCAGTGTAGGATGGTATATCATTGTAGGACGGTATATCATTGTAGGACGGTATATCAGTGTAGGATGGTATATCAGTGTAGGATGGTACATCAGTGTATGATGGTATATCAGTGTATGATGGTATATCAGTGTAGGATGGTAAATCAGTGTAGGATGGTAAATCAGTGTAGGATGGTATATCAGTGTAGGATGGCATATCAGTGTAGGATGGTATATCAGTGTAGGATGGTATATCAGTGTAGGATGGAATATCAGTGTAGGATGGTATATCAGTGTAGGATGGAATATCAGTGTAGGATGGTACATCAGTGTAGGATGGTATATCAGTGTAGGATGGTATATCAGTGTTGGATGGTATATCAGTGTAGGATGGTATATGTGGAGTGGGTGTGTGCGAGGGTGTTTTGGCAATATGTGTAAACCTCTTGCCATATGTTTAATCAAATAAGTTGTAAAATGTAGGGGTGTAAAAAACCAAAATTGAATCTTGATCTGACATTCAGTCATATAGTTAGAAAAAGACAGATTAAGAATTCAAGGTGTGAGGGGTAGGGATTAAAGATATATCAGTAATCAGGTTTTGGCGCTGGTACGGGAATGTTACAGAGATTGTTCGGACCAAGTATACCTAACCCGGACCACACTGTCATTATCGCCGATACGACTTGATGCTACACTACTCGTCTACAATATTTTCAATCAGAAGCTTGGTAGCGTGCGCCGAGAGCCTCATTTTTGGCGCATCACGAGTACACATGTGACTGATGAGCAACAGGTCTTTGATATTTCCATAGACGTTAATCTGGCGCATTAAGCACCCGAGACTGTATATGTCAGTCGCTTCGCTTGTCCGACAACCTTTTCGAACTTCCGGTGCCAAATGGCGCAAACGCGCCAACTTTTCTGACGGGGGATGAAAATTGCGCCCAGTGCGGTAGGAGGCCAGGCCAAAGTCTATGTATTTGAGTCTGTAGCCTTGTTTCCTTGTGTACATGACAATATTGTTCGCCTTGATATCGTTGACCAGTATGCATTTGTCGTGAAACTTGTCTAGTCCATGCGCCAGTTGAAACGCTATACTGATCCAATCAGCTTTGCTTACCTTGTCAATGCTTTGACGGAGGAATCTATGAAGAGTCTGTCCTTCGCCGATGAATTCCTGAATAATCCCGAAACTGTTTTCATTTCTAACATTGTTTTTAAATTCCACAAGTCCAAAACAAACCGGCACATAACCTGTATCGGACAGATATAGCAGTTTCCTTGCCTCTTCGATTGAATCTGTTTTGGTTCCGTACTTCTCTGTAAATTCCTTTATGCATATTTTCGTGTCCGAACACCGTCCATCGGTAAACCGGATCCGGAATACGTCTCCAAACGATCCGTGACCCACATGCACCGGAAGTCCATTACGTTCACCAACGTCGTAATCAATATGGCGCTGATCGACAAAATGTGGCATAATCAAGTCGTAATTGCCATAGAGATAAAGATGTTCCTTAGCAACCAAATTTGAAATGGAAAGTCTGCTTAACCCAATAACATCCATGACAGGAAGGGTTTTCTCTATAATAAATAAATGTATAATGAATAATTCTCGATGTTTTATCTTTGAATTTTTATATCCTCATAAAGGATCTAGAGCCCATAATTATTTTAAATATTTCAACTTTTTGTCAGTTGATATGATAAGAAGAGAATAGACGTGTTCTTGCCTTTGAACAATAAAATGGCTGAAGACCCCGCGACAAAACGGTACATTTGCCGCGTTCTACTAAAAGAACATCCACATATGTTTTGGAAGTAAGGTATTTCAGTATTATCATAAGCCCAGCAGCATGTAGTTTTCCCAAGTCTGTTAACTAAAGAGTATTTATTACATATTTTCCAGTAAAATATAAGGTTGTACAGTGAAAATACATCTTATATCATTCTACTGTGAGAATCAGGACATGCAATGCTACCAGTCTGTGTTACCCTATTCAGAATCGTCAGTTTGATTTCAATTAAACTCACTGTCTGGAAATTCTGGCAAATTTAATATGACAGGATACCATCTACATAATGTTATCTTCAGCATAATCTGATTCCTCAAAACTAAAAAAAAAAAAAAATCAATTCGCAATCCGACGCTGTTTGGTGATGTCTGTTCTCGATATCGCCTATTCCTTCGATGGTGACCGCTACAGGCGTTGAACTTGTGACGTCACAGGTGATAGGATGCTAATCCTACACTTCACACGTCGATATCTCGGTATCTCGGGATAACCGATTTTAATGCGGTTTTCGACATTTTTGTGTTTGAATCATATCGAATAATAATGTATTAATTTCTATTAACGTTCAGGGTACACTTTAAAGATGGATTAAACACTAAATTGTTGGAGACAAAATCGACCTCTTGAAATATTTTTCCAGATTTTTTTCCTCATATTTGAATGTGGGTTTAAAAATCAAAACATGGAAAAAAGTCTTTGCAAAACTTTCGATCCTGTTCTCTGGGTTGTCTGAGTGAGTTACCGACTAAATGTGTGAGGGAGCGCTCGCGAAAGTTTGTGGCGAACATTTTACAGAAGCTGTGTATAAAATGCAACACTTTAAACAAATGCAAAAACGAGATATGTCAATAGTTTACTGAAATAGTGTAGAAAGGCAAATACCTTAGAAATTGTTGTAAAGTCAACACTTTACAGAAACGATGTATAAAGGTCAACTATTTATAGAATCAGTGATAAAGGTCATAACTTTACAGAAATCTTAATAGATATTAACGCTTTACTGAAACGATGTAAAGGTCAACTTTTTTCTTCAAAAAACGGAACGGTTAATAATTGAGTCAGCATTTTATATCTGCGTTTTTAGTCGGTTGCTGGATAACTTGAGTTGAACTATTCAGTAATAAATTAGACTTTAAAACAAACAAACAACTGTACTTACCGGGCACCTGTTTCGTCAAATGGTCAACTTCTAGTTAGGTCTCCTCGAACTGACCGGTACTATTGATGTATATGGAAAGTCTGCCGGTTGGACATCTGCATTTCTCTGTCCGTCCTATGTATATCAATATGTATGTGGACATTTGACGGACACGTGCGACCATATGATAGTATGCATGGCCGTACACACTAATGAAGTCCGAACTATGCATAATTAATAGTTTGTTACGCAGGGATATTAAACCTATAGTATAGCCATTGTTTATGTCAAACTTCCCTTCCCAGTTAGGTAAGAAATAGATATTTTTCCTTTGTCCCACCCAGGGACGTATACTGACCCTGGTGCCACCACAAATCATCACCTTTTTCAGTCATTTTTCCATTAAGGGTTCATCCTTTGCATGGTTTTTCGGAGTAGACACTCGAAGAGTCATGCTCAGTTTCGCTCTCTGCACAGAGCGGAAGTGAGCGTTGCCTCTGGAGTATCGAGGATGACTGTTGATATGAAGGTCGCTAACTTATCTCTGTGTGTATTTCGATTTTCATGAATACACCGTGGTTTTTTTTTTACCCTAAATTGATTTTAATTGTCGATAGACCGTTTAACAATACAAAACAACAACTACACCATTGATATCGTCAGACAATGCTGAAGTACCCCGCGTTTAGTCGCCCAGCACATCTGTTCACACCTTTGAAATATAAATCCTTCTGTTGTTATTGTGGCGGTCTTATGTAGGTAAGAAAAAAAGCTGCGCACATACATGTCAACAGGCCAGTTCATCAACTATTAAATACGTATGGCCTGTTATAATTATAAACAAAAAAAATCCTTTTTTTATTTTGTAATTTTGAGCAGGGGGTCCGGATGACAAAATTCCGGATAAATGGAACACCTGGAATTTATCACAGGGACCTGAGAATTTGTTACAGCAATATTTGGACCTAAAACAAGTTGTTCAGAATTAAATCTGAATCCCTTATATATAGTTAAGGTCAGAATATAGCTGTAACAAATGTTCAGGTTCCTGTGGATTTTATAACTGAATCAAAGAATTAGATATAGTATATTAGAAAATGGATACCAAAAGCATACTTAACATTCGGGGCGTAGCTAGCCTTTGCTTGGATTTGATTCATTTAGTATCGGGTCTAGGGAAAGACACTGGTAGGAAGCCCCCACCCCGTACCCTAGCTCCCTCTGAACAATTTGAAAATCTAGAAACTAAGTAATTGATTTTGAGCTATATCAGAATATTAATAATATTAATCAGAAATTTTAGCCTTTTCTACGATCGTCCATTCTTAAGCCTGAACATTTTAAATCCACCACTACCTCCAATACAAATTACCGTAAAGCAGATCGCTTATCACGAAAAGTTCAAATTGTGTTCAAAAGTTATCAACCAAACAGTGTGTCGTATCTATGGTACTAGTTGGTCATATTGTGTCAACATAAGTGTTGTTGTTTGTTTGTTCTGCTTTTGTTTATTCATGTTGTTGTTGTTTTAATACGTACAGATATATATTTTCTAAAAAAAAAAAAGGATCTTTATATTGTAGTTCATAGATATCACTTAAATTCGCAGAATGCCTTCTATATTCCACCTAAAGAATCCCCTATCTGTTATCGAATACGCAGATATCTTTAACATTACAAACTTATCTGAAAAAGTGTATGAGATATATCTTATGAGGTGTTGTTATACGTATACGATACTGCTTTAACCAAAATATGTAAACTATTTCCATAAACTCTGTAAGGCTTTCAACAATTTGCCTTTCTTTACCTAATCGAAATTGATATTATGTAATTTATTAAAATCAACAAAAGGAAAAAAAAAAACTTGACACCTATAGCAAAAGATAATAAAGCACAAAAGGGTTATTTTGAAGTGAACGTTTTCACATGGAATTCAATTTTATGTACTGTTTCCAGCAGAAAAAAAAAGAAATACAGAAGTAGGAAGAGACAAGAAAGAAGTAGGAAGAAAGAAAATGGTGTCTTAAGATATGATATAAGTATATCTTGAAGAATATATGAAGCCGATACAGGCTAACATGGCGTTCATAATCTTCCCAAGGCATATGCCATCTCCTTAGCGATCATTTCAGTATCACTAGTGAATACTTTCATGTTTCATTGCCTGAAAGCTTGTTTAATATATACAATAAATCATCTGGTTCCATATGTATATCCATGTGGTACTTCGTTATAAAATTTGTAAAAGTCGGCCCACCTTTTCACAACCAGCTTTATTATCCGGATTTATTGCCGGACGTCTTTTTGGAATCGACATTGTTTCAGCCAATCAAAAACGATTGCCTGTCCACGTGATTATTCAACCAATCAAGAGAGCGTATTATCAATTGTTCGCTCACGTGAGTTTTAGCGGCGGTAGCTACGAAACGACGACATTTGTAGCAGCTGTCAGAATATTCTCTCAACAATCTTTTATCAAAAAATGGAAGTATCAACCATTAAGAAGGCGCTTCGCACACACAGAATGGAAAGTAAGTGTATAAATGACACAAAATTTGATAAATCACATGACTGACACTCATTACTTTGTGAATACGTTCTTGAAATATAAAGCCAAATTGAATCACACTCACACTCACAGGGGTTCGTTACAAATGTCTGAAATACACATAACACATGTGTGCTGTGACCCATATCAGTGAAGCATATGTGTATTTCTGACATTTGTAACGAATCCATGTGATTGAATCGACTGTCATTGCTCAATTATTGTTTGAAAAGGGTTATTAAGAATCATTATTTTATGTAAATGCATACGACCAACTGTATATTTCATTATTCTGTTCAGGTGCCAAAAATAAGATCGATTTCGCTGACATCAGCACCTTTGACATTGTCCCAACTCCCCCAAAGGGGCCAAAACCTGAAACAGCCAGGTTACAAAGACGTCACAGAGTCCATGCCCAGAAATTAAACACATACGAGGCAAAATATGGATCTTCACAAGACTCTGAGACACATAAGACACAGCATGATGCTAAAAATGGTTCTGGTGATTTTCGTAAGACTGTTGACCCAGCATTTCCCTGGTATTGCCCTACTCCAAGAACTGGAGAGACATCGTTCGATAGGGAGGAAAATGCTATTCGTAAACAAGCCACTTGCAATGGTAAATATTAATTGTGAATATCCGTTTACGTTACTAAATCCAAAGCAAGTTGTATGCGTGTTTCTGTCATAAATATTTATAGAGAAATCTTACTGTTTACATTTTTCTTCTTGTGCTTTTATTTTTACTAGCTGTGGAAGCAACTTTCACAGATCAGTCGACAAACTCATCTCGAAAACAAGCAGTCAATGCCAAGTATGTATATGTTTAAAAGAGGTTTTGTATCTGTATCACATATCACTATGTATTGTAGCTAGAAATATGGGTCACAAAAGCTATTTAAAAGAAAGAAAAAAACCGAACGGGATTGTTTTTTATGGTAAAAAAGGTTAACTTACGTGATTTCTATGACAATTACAATCGTTACAATTATAATTGAAAATTCCAACTTACAGATTCTTTGATTTGAATATTTTCAATTGTAAAGTGCCTAAAGTACTAAAGACATATACTTACGTTTAATTTACAAACGACCGTTCCATCTTCAGTCCTATAAGGTACCCAGCCCCAGGACCCAGAGAACAATTGGCGCCTAGTCCGTTTCCCGTCAACAAAAACAAACTGGCCCCTGTGGTGAACCCAAAGAAAAATGCTGTACCAAAACCTGCTCGTGCAGGACCTCGTCCGGTCAAGGCTAAACACATGCTCATTCACAAGGAAAGTAAGTCAAAGTCACATTCTTACACGTTTCTTTTGGCTAAATGGTTTGTCGTTCGTTTGAAATTTCATTTTTCGTTCATTCAGTGTTCTTGCTTATTTATATTCGTATTTTTTCAATTAGGAATTAGAGAATATCGAGAAAAAAATTCTTTATCATTTTGTGAGGTTTCGGACCAAATTTCGGTCCTGTATAGGTTCTTAAACGAGTAATATCGATTCTGTGATGAAATTTCTTGTTTGATTGTTCTTTGTTTTTGTTTTGTTTTGTTGTTTTATGTGTGAATTGTGGTGTTTTTTTTATAAGATGTGAAGACTACTGTCACGGATCAGCCGACTAGAATGTCTCTGCCTGAAGCGGCAAACAATACAAAGTATGTAGATATTGTCAAAACGGGAATATGTGTTGTTGACTAACTGTACTTTCAGACAGCTAACTTAGATGTTTATTAGATATTATATGGTAATTTTAATAACAGTAGTGACTATATGATATGGTGAGTTTAAAATGGATGAATGCCAATTGTCTTCTGAACTTTTCTGGAAAATTTAGGTGTCAATTGTCATAGTGGTACATACATCGTGTGAACGATTCACATTACACTTCGGTTCTATCCTCAGCCCAATAAGGTACCCAGCCCCAGGACCCAGAGAACAACTGGCGCCAAGTCCCTTTCCCGTCAACAAGAACATACTGGCCCCTATGGTGGACCCTAGGAAGAATGCTATACCAAAATCTGCTCGACCAGGCCCTCGTCCGGTCAAGGCCGTTCACATGCCAGTCTTCCATGAAAGTAAGACGTTATTTTCATATCAAACATATGCAGTTACTTTTGTGGTATAAGTAATTCAATCCAAGTTTCAAAGTTAACCAATATTCACACATGGGCCGGACACATTGTTTATGCATTCCGCTTATGTTGCAAAAGATGGGAAGTGGTTGATCAATACACACATCTAGAGAACAGGGACCTGATAATTTGTTACAGCTATATTTGGACCTAAACTAAGGTGTTAGGAGTAATTCTACATGTTTAAGGGGTTAAGATCGACTTTCGGAAAAAATGACACCCCCAATATCTCAAATATATGATCATTGGGGGTGTCATTTTTATCGAAAGTCGATCTAAACCCCTTAAACATGTAAAATTATTCTGAACACCTTATTTTTTGTCCAAATATAGCTGTAACAAATTATCAGGTCCCTGTGATCTAGAGTCTGTTAAAGGCATTATTGCGTGATATTTGCATTTCTTGACAGGAAAATAATTGAAAAACTTACGTTTAATTAACTGAATTTAAACTTTTATTACAGACACGGAATCCAGTAGTATGCTAACAATGATGTACGGCTGTAGGTAGGTACATTTATCAGTTATTCTTAGTTATTTAGAGGAGAGGAATGTTGCTATTAGCTTCAGTTATTTACAGGCTGCCTTTCGCTTGCACTTCAAAATAAAAATTACCTCGATGTTGTTGATGCATGGGGTATTTTTTTCAAAGTAACTGAACATTTTCCTTGACATTGAAATCTATGAAAATAGATTGACTTTAATTTAGGTTCCATATAGATCTTTAAATCATTCACCCCTGAAGACACATTTGAACTCCTCCAATTCAAAGGTTGGAATAGTTCATTATAAAATTTAAGGGGTGAATAAGTGAATGTGTATGGGTGACTATAATTTTAAGTTTTACATTGTTTTTACAGAGATGTTTGCGTAGCCGACAGTGTTATTCCAGTGAAGAACAGGCGTCCTATCAGAAACCCATCCCCTGGGCCCCGGGAACAGCTACTCCCCAGTATCTTCCCTACCAAAAAGAGGCGCCCAGCCACTCTCGTCAAACGCGGAAGAGTTGTCGCCCCTATGTGTGGATAGAGTCACAATTTTTAGACATTTTTTTACCAGAAATTCAAAACAGCATTAAAAGCAAGGTTATGAAAACTGTAAATGATGGCGAGTTACATGAAAGCTGAGTTATAACAATGCTTCTGAATTTTCAACTGTTTTGCTCAACATCATTTTTTTTAATTATATTTGTTAATTTTTTCTATACACATTTTTCTTATTATTAATGTTTAATTAACTTATTTCATGCTATATTAACATCAAATATGTTATTTAAAAAAGTTTTGCTGCTAATTGCTCATATCTTTATTTATTTATATCTGATGCAATCGATTGAAAATTCGGACCTTTGTTGAAATCATGATATAAAAAGTGCTGGACAATTTAAGGATTTATTTTTTGCGTGAATGGTTTTGAATCCTTGTGTAAATGTGACGGTTTGAGAGGTGTTGAATGATAGATATGACTACTTATATATATTTAATATAATTAAACATTAAAGATTGTGAATAAAATGTTAGAAATTTTACCTCACAGTGTTTCGTTTTCTATCTTATTTTAGTTCAAAAATCACGTGTTACTAACCAATATTTGTTGGTCTGTCGTTTAGCAACAAGATTCAAATACGAGCTACATTTGTAGTAGACTAAATAAAAAAAATTTGTGCAGTTTTAATGAATTTTGACATCGAATCTATGAATGTTTTATTTCACATAAAACTTTGGTATAATGTTACCAACTCTCTTGGACATTTGGTACATTGGCACAGAGGCGTGATTATAAGGTTAAATACGGCTCTGGCGATTCTCGCTTGATTCAGGCTAGTTTGACCTCGGGCCCCAGTTTCATGCCAGTTCCTGAAATTTAGAATTTCCCAAGGAAAGTATTACTTAAAGAAAACGTCGATCACTTGAAATTTATAAATAAGGGACGTTCTGAAAATGGTTCCTGGTCCTGTTAATCAACCAAAAAACCCACTCAGGGCCTGGCACATCATCATTGGCTCTGCAGAATAGGACGTTTTTAACGTTTGTTTCCAACATCAGAAGATTTGTATTGGCCCCATCGAAGGGCCTATCAAGGGGCACTGTTTGACTGCGATTGAACTTCAAAATTAAAACGTATACAGCAGTTTGGGTCTAACAGAATAAGATTAAGAAATTTTGCTTCCATAATTTAAAAGAAAATAATATTTTCATCAATTCTACAAACATTCATACATATCTGATAACACACCTGGAAGAAATTGTATGAATTTGTTCTGCAAATGGTCAAAACCCAAAAAATCACCTAAAATCACATGTCGTGTTCAATTGGTATCTTTGACCGATCATAGCACGGACATATATATTTTTTTTGCATTTTCTACCTTGCCATTAACTCCTTTTTCCAAATGTCCATATAAGAAAAAAAGTTTAAAACAGGAAAATTTTGACTTCTCAGAGGTGTACGTACATCCTTAATGCATAGTTAAAATGGCTTTCGTGTTTCAAACGTCTGCTTCCGTTCTCTCTTTTTCCTTGTGGTTTTCCCACTGTGACAATGACGGATTTTTTTCTTTGCTCTTAACTTCTAAATTAAAACAAAATAAAGTTTCAGTAGTACGTATTTTATGTATTTACCAACATTACACAAACATTTCGTTAAACTAACAATATTGCCACAGCTGTGTTGTGGCTTTCACAATTTCTGTAATTATCGTTGAGGAGAGAGGATTTTAACGCGTGCCTTGTCCTATTGGTGTATTTTAATGCAATAAAATATGTTTAAACTATCTAAAAATAAACTTTTAGGGCCTGTTAAGTCATAACTTTTTAAATGCATGTATTCATCCATGCATTAAAAAAAATAGTAGGTAGTACACGTTTATTTCACTTTATCGGCACATTTTTATTTTGCAAGAGAAGGGGGGAATACTGGCTAATATAAGGGGAGACATATGTTTTTGTTAAAAAAAAACCCACTCTAGTTTATTTATCATTTTTGGCATTTTTGCCGATCGGAAACAGAGAAATCGGAACAAATTTCACTTTAACTTAAAAATTGCTACCGAAAAATTAAGCAGACTTTTAAACCGTGAATTTAGGCTAGTTTGGACCAGCAGTCCCCAGTTCAGTACAATATTTCAAAATGTTCAGAAAAAAACATGTTTTGTGATGTAGAGAGAAACGAATGAGTTTGAAGTTTTTTGTATTGTTTTTATTGTGTTTTGAAAATATCTGAAAACACTCAGTTTTTACGGTCTATTTCTGTGACTTTTTTCCTCCGAGTAATATGGGCTCTTAAAACTCTTAGAATATTGATTTTTAGCTAAAATAATGTTGTTTAAGACCCGAAAACTATTTTTTGCTATGGCGAAAAGGAATGATGTGGGATGAGGCAGAGACGTAAATATACGTCTCTGGTTTAGGCCTTACGTTATGCCTACGTTAGACATGACGTCTGCTTGATATGCGACACAAGAGTTGTCTACCTTGAGCTTCCATCTTTTCTGAGAAGGAAAGAAAATTACTTCGAGCAGAAAAGAGAACAAGGTGCGATTCGAAAGTATATAACTCACTGACAGTGCCCGTCAAGGACAGTTGCAGCCCATATACACGTAAACATTAGCAGAATGATGTCGCATGTTGGCACCTGCATACATTTGTATTTATTTTTGGACTGACGTATATTTATTTGGTGATAGGGTTGGAAATGTCAATACAAAATTTAGTGGAAAATCGATCTTTACAAATGTTTTTTTTTCTTCTACAGGTGTTTGACGCACGTGATGTTACAGACGTGATCGTCTTACATCTGTGGACCGTCTCGAGTGAACGCTGCCAGTGTAACTGTCAGCTGACTGTAAGAGGACACCGCGGTTCGACAGGTGTCATCGCCCCTAAGGGATCAACCCCGTCTGCCACAGCTGAACAGGTCGGAAACTTTCTCGACCAGTCCGAGATGGTCTCAAACATTAAGATAAGCACTGTTGACATAGATAAAACATCTCAGTAGATAAGCAAGGATGATCCGGAATAGAAGTGCATAAGCTGCTGTAAAAAAATATCATTTAAATAAAGAAAAGAAAAAACATTTACCTGAATAAATATTATTATTATTAGAGTGTTTTAAAAATAGTTACAATTAATGTTTCCAGTCTCTGAGAAACACACCAATAGTAATATGATACTATAAGTAATAAGATATGTAATAGTAAAGGTATATAACTGCAAGTCGCCAGTGACCAAAGACCATGAAGAAAATAAATAAATCAGTAGTACTGTACAGCTACCCATACCCGAAACCACTTTCAAATCTGAATGTAATACCCTGATGTACTCATTAAAACCACTGGTTTGGTTCCTGAACACCTTACCTTCTATACATTATTAGCTCACCTGGTCCGAAGGACCAAAGTGAGCTTATGCCATACCGTGGCGTCCGTCGTCCGTCTGTACGTCAACAATTTCTTTAAACGACTTCTTCTTCTTAAGCACTGGTTGGAATTAAATTAAATTTTTCTGGAAGCATCCCTAGGTGGTGGGGATTCAAAATTGTACAAATGGTGGGGCTGACCCCCAGGGGGCTGAGGGGCGGGGCCAAAAGGGGTCAATTTGCCGATATTGCTTTAAGCGACTTCTTCTCTGGAACTAAGAAGTGGATATCAACCATATTTGACTGGAAGCATCCCTAGGTGGTGGTGATTAAAAATTGTACAAATGGTGGGGCTGACTCCCCAGGGGGCTAAGGGGCGGGGCCAAAAGGGGGCAATTTGGCTATATTGCTACAAACGACTTCTTCTGTAGAACTGTGCACTGGATATCAATCATATTTGATCAAAAGCATTCCTGGGAGGCAGGGATTTAAAATTGTACAAATGGTGTGGCTGACCCCCCAGGGGGCTGAGGGGCAGGGCCAAAAAGGGTATTTGGCTATACTGCTTTAAGTGACTTCTTCTCTGGAACTAAGTGATGGATATCAACCTTATTTGACTGGAAGCATCTCTAGGTGGTGGAGATTCAAAATTGTACAAACGGTTGGGCTGACCCCCCAGGGGGCTGAGGGGCGGGGCCAAAAGGGGGCAATTTGGTTATATTGCTATAAATGACTTCTTCTGCAGAACTATGCCATGGATATTGATCATATTTGGTCGGAAGTATTCATGGGAGGCAGGGATTCAAAATTGTACAAATGGTGGGGCTGACCCCCCGGGCTAAGGGGTGGGGCCAATAAAATGTATTACTTGGAAATGGTTGAGATCCCCACCATATAACCATATATACAATTGCTGAGTATAAAGAGAAGAATGCACATTTGCTTCCAGGATGTCCCTAGGGTCTGGCCCCACCCTTGGAGACATAGTCCCTGGGCCATAACTTTAAAACGGTTGAGATCCCCACCCCAAAACTATATATACAAATGCTGGGCATAAAGAGACGAATGCAATCATGATATCAGAATAGACCCTGGGGTCTGACCGAACCCCTAGGGACCTAGTTTCTTAGTCACAGCTTGGAAACAGTTGAGAGCCCCACCCTATAACCGTATATATACAATTGCTGAGTATAAAGAGATGATTGCACATATGCTTCCAGGTTGGCCTTGGGGACTGCCCCACCCTTGGAGACTTAACCCCTGGGTCATAACTTTGAAATGGTTAATATCCCCACCCAAAAACTATATACTGTATACAATTGTTGGGCATAAAGAGGCGAATGCAGTCATGATATTAGAATTGATCCGAGGGTGTGCCCCACCCTTGCAGACTTGGCCCCTGGGTCATAACTTTGAAATGGTTGAGATCCCCACTCCAAAACTATATATACAAATGCTTGGCAAAAAGAGACCAAGGCGGTTACAATATTAGAATCGATCCTGGGGTCTGGCCACAACTCTAGGGACCTAGTTTCTGAGTCAAAGCTTGGAAACAGTTGAGATCCCCACCCCATAACCATACATAAAATTGCTGGGCATGAAAAATCTAATATAGCTATGCTACAAGGATTGGCCTTGTGGTTTGGCATATTCCCTTGATCTCATTTGGAGAATAGTTTGCCATGATTGCTTAGGTATCCAGGTGAGCGATACAGGCCCTTTGGGCCTCTTGTATTACTATCTAACTATATGTTATTCTGCACAGAGACCAAAATGGCTTTAATCCGTCCACTATTTATGTGTCCAGCACCTGTGGTTTCTGACAATCACTCTTTTTTAGCCTGTCCTAATTTTTTAATCAATTTATTTTAAGCATGGCAAAGTCCGTGTTAAAAAAATGTTTAAAGAAAAATAACCCACGTCATTACTAAACCTATTTTTCAGGACATGCTTTATTTAGCTTATACCACAATGTGTTTCCCATTTCTGTTACAGTTGGAACACTGGACAGTGTCATGGGGTGATAAGAAAGTTAAATTCAGACACCCTTGACCGGTCAGTCTTTGGACATCAAAGATGGACAGATATGATGAGGACATTTATGACAACCCGTTCTTTGTCACCCTTACGACAAAGTTTACGGATGTATATGAGGAGGCCACAAGCAAGCGATGGACAGTAAGATTTAAATTGTGTTCATTCCATATACATTTTTGGGTGTTTGGGTGTGAATTTTATGCATACATTTTTGTTCCTTGCTTTTTTTTTTAATTTTCAAGATTTCTATTAAGGTTTTGTTTGGCATTGTCATATTTTAGTTTTGAAAAAATGTAAATGTAGTAGTGTTTGACAGCTGGACAACTTCTGAAAAACACATCATCTGTTAAATAAGTCATGTTGTGCTTAATATCATATTTTCCTGTGACAAATGTGATATTAAGCAGAACTCAATGTATCATTAGGATCTTATGATATGTTTGTTCATATATTTACATTTGCCATGCGTTGCCACTATATAACACTACCAAAGCCAGTTCCATGTTATGAGACCATAACACATGTACAGACGTAGTGATATCTCTACGGGCCCGACTAACTATCGGCTCGCTATTCTCCTTCGTACTAGCAAGCAGATAAGCAAAACAAAAAATAAAAAACACTGATTCATAAGACTATTATAAAAAGTGAATATTTATTGATGAAATTAATTGTATCAATAATTTTGTGTTCTTTTCCACAAACTGTTTTTTTACGCGGAAATATTCCGTGAGCTTATTCAATGGGCTGTTCTACCTCCTGAACAAACACCGCCAAATTGGAATTTAAAAGTGGATAGCGTTTAAAAATGCTAACGCGCGTAATACATTTTGTCTGCAAATTTGTTCCCTGTTATAGGACCATAGCACGGAACAGAATGCTGTTTAATGCTTAAACAAAATATATATGATATACAAAATTAAAGGGACTTTTTAAAGACCGGGTTTTTCAAAGTAACATTCAGATGTAGATGTACAGCACATGAAGTATACAAACTTAAGTCCATCCAAGATGCATAGCTACCAAACCTCCCTCTTTAGGAGGGAGACTCTCTCATTTTGACCAAAAACGTCCAATCTCCCTTGAAACTCCCTCATTCAAGTCCAAACTAACACAAACTCACACAAATCTACATCCTGTGGTCAAATGATCTCCTGGTTACTGCAGGGTGTGTGTAATGATCAGAACAGGTGTGTCTGAATCAATGATTGTTTTTTGGAGTTATTTTGATACGTAAAAATGGAAAGATGAATTGAGCAAAGCAGTTCAGTCGTGCTTCACGCTTTTTCTCCCTCATTGGAAATGTGGAATTAGGGAGATCTCCTTCATTGGAGGTTTCAGAAGTATAGCTAATCATAGTGGTAATTAAACTGTTCAGTTATTTATTTTCTTCTGAACAGAAGTTAATTCTAAGAATAATTTGTGTAAAATTATTTGAAAACAGGGGTACCAAAATAATTACATAAATTATAATAATAATTCAATATTTTGCTTTAAAAAACCCCATAATCAATGTTTTTCTACCTTAATTTTACAACAGCCTGTTTCTACATGAATTGGGAAAATATAGCATTAATTTCATGGAAATTTGGTAGATATTCCTCATTTTATCTTCATTTTGGAGAAATGAAGCACTTTTTTCAAGGAGAAACAGCCAGTATTCAGATTATGTAAAACTAGACAAAAAAAATAATTCGCCAAGTTGAGGAAGGCAATGGGTTCTGTCCCTAGGCCGGGGCATACCAAAGTCCTTCAAAATGGTAGTTGTTAATCCCTGCTTGACATTAAGAATTTAGGGAAGTGGCAACAACTGGTTCACCCGGAATGCTGTGTTAGGTGCCTTCAGCATGGTATTTCAGTGAGATAGCACTATAAAGTTGGCATCAGATCCACACTATAACAGGGAGGCAAATACACCAACATACCCTGCCTCCTGCAAACACATGCAAGTACCCATACACAACACACATACAGGCACATCCTTAAATGACCTTAGATGTTGATAGGACGTTAAACAAAAAATAAAACCAAACCAAACCTTGGCATATAAATGTTATTTCTGTCACTATGATTTCAGTTGTGTGTTCCCAAGTACGCTTCTGTGGTAAAAGAGCCAAGCTTTTCTCGTGAAGACATCACGGAGCACGTTGTGTTACAGTTACAGGATGGAGGCGAGGAATTCAAGAGCTTTTCTAACAAGGTATAACATGTCAGAAAACTACTTTGAAGGTATATGCAGTCAGCTTACAGTTTTCACCATCAAATATACTGTACATGTTGTACTGGGAAACTTTTGGGGCTTTCTCCGGGTACTCCGGTTTCCTCCCTATTTACCTTGTAAGACCCTCACAAAATAACATCTTAGCCAACAAGAGTGATTAATATAAGTTGAAATAAACTTATCTACAAGCTTTTACCTCATTTGTATCTCTAACACACAAACCTTTGATTCCACTGGATGCAAACCAATTAATGGACAAAAAGAGAAGGCTACTATATATATACCCTATCTGCTTAATAGGCAGTTATCAACACCAAATTTAAATCACATATTATTCCAAGACCTAATTGGTGAATTTTGTAATTTCTTAAACGTGTATGAAATTTTTAAAATTTTCAGAAACTGACCATTAGCAATGGAAATGTCAACGTTTTACCGACAGACACAGAACCAACTAAAACGGTAAGTGATATCTAATATAATCCCCTATAATCACCAATCTCAAGCAGAAACAAATGGAAATCATAGATCTAGAACTAATATGCTGAATGCCTTTTCATACACAGGCAATATTTCTTGATTTCAAATTCGGGGTCAAATTCAGGTCAATTTTGACATGAAATTGACTATTTTTGCTCTTTTCACACAAAGTTAACCTGTAATTGACATCAAGAAATTTTCACCTGAAATTGACCTGAAATTCAGGTCAGTTTTAGGTTAGGATTTTTCAGGTCAAATTGAAAAAATCTTTGCCTGTGTAGCATTTATATAAAAAAAGTTTGTATTTCCTAGATTTTCATACTGTCATCCCCGTTCAGGGGTATATCGGGGATTTTTTTGAGTCCGGTTAAAGGACCCGTTCCCACCTGAAAAAGGGTATGATTTTTCCAATTTTGCTCCTTTAAAATTCCCAATTGGGAAACCAAAAAAATAACTGCATGAATGAAGATAAATTCTTATAGTTGACCAAGTTCTCAGAATACAGCACAAGTAGGAAGGACAAAGTCATTATTTTGTCATAAAGAAAGGCTTGAATAAAAGTTAAATAGTCTAATTTGATGTATGCAGTATTGTTATAACGAACTTTCAAATCCTAATATGGTTCTTATGCTGTTGGTATTTCTCGTATTTATCCCAGGGTCCGTTTTCCAAAACCCTCTGATAAACCCCTGCCATGTGAGTTCTTCTACAGCGGAATAAATGTTTACATCAGGTTCAATTATAGCAGTTTTGAAATGGGACCCAAAGGATTTCGAATAGTCTACTTTTATCAATTTCTGGGTGTTATGTACAGAGCCTTTGATTTTATCGTAAAAAAAAACACTCCAAGGGTGTCGGGAAGATAGGTACAGTATAACCCTGATATACCGCCACCTTCCGTTTTGGGACATTTTGGGTAGCAGAGTACAGTAGCGTACGGTGGCCATGGGTGATATTTTTATACAATGAATAACCCCTGTAATATAACATGTATCAAAATTAAAAAAAAAAAAACAGCACTAAAATTGGCATATACATGATGAAGTGGACTATGTGGGCTTCATAATTTAAAAAAAAGAAAAGTCAAATTTGGTTTGAGACTACAATTTTGGGCATTTACGAATCTGTGTCTACACAACAAAAGCTAGCTTTTCATGTAGTCTATTTTTGTACTCAGCACATGTGTAAATATTGTGAAAAATCAACCGGAATGACCTATGCTAAAACGTGAGTATTTCTGTTACCGAGTAGGCGATATTTAATTTCAGACAGGTTTTAAGAAAAACAATTCTACTTGCGGGGGTCAAATTCTGGGTTAAAAATCATGATTTTTTGCATATTTTGGTGTTTTTTGATGTGGTAACCATGGTTTTCAGAAGTCCCAAATCTGGGGAAATCACTTTTTGAAAAAAAAAATGTTCTTCTAAAAAACACCTATTAAAAAGGTAGTTTATAAATATATATATATATATGTAGGTGTGTTGTGCAGGATGAATCCGCTATCCATGTTTATCCGAGACATGCCCTTTATTTTTAGGGTCAAGCCATTTCTACTGTACTCTGCCACCTTGGGGATACAACAGGTTTCGCGATACAATGAGTTGTCCCTGACGGGTGATCTATGCTGTTTGTTTTGACGCTCAGTTAAGCATTGCACTGCTGTCAGTTGACATTCATAGGCAATATGAATGCCAACTGGACAAAGACAAATTTGATTCAAGTGGATTTGCCTTTTGTCCAGTTTTAATCTGTTCATCTCATAAAGAAATCCATTACACTTATTATTCAGCATTTAGTTCAAATAATGTATGTATCTTGTATGCTTGTTCAATGAATAGATCAGCCATCGCCCAGGGAGGGTCAGTGGTATCCAACGTAACAATTATGATGTCATAATAATGATGATGTCAACAATCGGTCCATGGCATTCATAGCCTTTATGACTGCCAATTGGATTTGGTAGAGTTATATAGTGGCAATGCCATACTGTGGTAAATGTATCCAACTCTTTAACAATTTAAACTGAAATGTACATGTCAGCTGCAAAATCAACAACACAGGTAAATTTCTTTGATGGAGCAAGATGGTGTTATCTGGGGCCCACAACAGGATATTTACGTGAATGTTCTAAAAACATCATGGTATATGGTGGTACCTGAGTTTGGTGGTACAACCGGTGCAGTTAAGTGTTGGGAAAATTGGTTATGGCAAAATTGATGGTGGTACGCAAGTTTGGTGGTACAAGGGGTGGATATATATGGCGGTATATAAGGACATAACCCTATCATATCTTGTCACAGGTGGAATATCATCATTGTTTCGCTCATATTCAAAGAAGCAGTTATCTGCATTTGTATTTTAGGTTCCCATTTTGTTTGAAGAGATTTTCTACAACAATAACAACGAGAGTTTCCGGGTCTTGTGTATCAACTGTCTACTCAACAGAAGCGGAGTGGGTAAGTAACAGCCGAAACTGCTTCAGTATGCCGTAACAGTGATGTGAGTTAGAAGTCGCTACTGTATACAGTTTTGAATTCTCAAATCTTAATTTCCACATTTTTTGTCATGATACGAATAATAAGAACAACATAATAATTAGAGGTTCTTATATACCGCTTTATCACAACCTAGTTCTTAGGTCGTCTCAAAGCAGTTCACAAATTATTATCCGTGGTTATAGGGCCTCTGCAACCTGCCAATATCTTTTTAACCTCCCTGGGGAGCATACAGCCGGTGCCTCCATTTAGGCGCTCACAGCTTGCATTCAACAATTCCAGCACTGCCCAACCACATACTCATTTACAGCTGAGTAGACTGGAACAAGCAGAGTCTTTTTCAAAGATACAACACAGTGCCATGACGTTACTTGAACCCGCAACCCTTTGGTCACGAGCCCAGCGTCCTACCACTAGACTACCGTGCCTCCATTATATATATGCGCTGTGCAGAATTACATCTTACAATAATACCTGGAGCTGGAACTTTTTGCTGCATATGTGTACCCTTCCCCCCCCCCCCCCCCCCCCCCCCCTTTGTGGTAAAATTTTATCCATCCACCTGACTGCCTGTTGTAGTAGAGTGCTCTTTTGTGAAATGTCTCGATATCTTCTGACAGCTGACTTTGCTGACTTGACACATTCTGTCTAAGAAAGTTATTTTCAGTGGTCTCGAGTCGAGGCTTTGTGTCATTTGCACTCTTTGCTTGACAAAGGAAACAGGTATTTTGTTGCCCATCTAGTCAAAGTGGAAGATGCTTACAGTACGTTCTTGTCATCTTGATGTGCATTCTTCCAAATTTTATTTCTGTAGAGTCAGGCTCTGACCAGAAGGAGAAGATCACTAAACGACCCGCTTCATTTGATGACTGCAAGGAAATCTTGTTCGGACATCCAGGTGAGAAAGATCATCTAATGCTGAGGGTGTAATTCGTTAAATTTGTTTTGGAGTGGTGCGACTACCGCTATGAGTTTTTTTACCGTATTGACAGATTACAGTATCAAGGATAGTATTTGTTGCTGTGTTATTTTCATGGTTTCTGCAATATGATAAAATCCACGTATTCACATTCAAGTCAGCAAACATTTCTTGTTAATTAACAACATATACCTAACAGTTTCAAAACTGCAAATTCAGCTCTTCGTGCAGTCGAACTGGGTATTTTTGCAAGCTAATGTAAAATTACACAGGATGAAATCAGTAAGTATCCCCCCTCCACACACACACCTAGTAAGAGGGGTATATAGGAATCACTTTGTGAGGTCGTCCATGTGTGAATCTGTGTAGTATAAAGGCTACTGTACAAGTTATCTTGTGAACTGCGGAAAACAGCTCACGGTCAAAGTTCGCACATGATCACATGCAGTTTTAAGTTAAAAAGTTATCTAATAAGATTAATAGAATCTTCCCCCACCTTGAGGGTGTGATAGAGAAATCTCTAACCTGAGCGGTGATGTTTTTTGGTTGTCTAACCCGAGGCTGTGCTGAGGGTTAGACAACCAAAAAAATCACCCGGAGTGTTGGAGATTTCTCTGTCACACCCTCAAGGTATAGGGGATGATTGTTTTTCTCCCATCCTATTATTTCAGTCACAACTCTACCGACAGTAGTGTAAACAAAAACACATGTGGGGTTTGAATTTCGTCATTCACTTTTGATGACGTCACAATTACCAGTGACGCATTGTAATGACGTCACAATTGAACACTTGCTAATCGGCATGAGGTTATCTCCCCCTAGGGGTTGACAAGCTGATCTTTCCTGGCTTAAACGGAAGACACACCTGTGAAGGGTGGGAGAATAAGATATTTCATGAACCCTTGACAAATTTTGTTAATATTTACATCATGGTATCGTAACATAGAAATCTACACCTGTTTAGATGTCAAGGTTAAAGGTCAAAGGTCATGGGCAAAGTGTCTCATCTGTCTGAAGCACAAAGTTTATGTACAAGATATATCTCATGAACATCTGAACACATTTTTAGGTCACCTGAGACAAAGTCTCAAGTGACTATATTGCGATCGCCTTTTGTCCGTCGTCGTCCAACGTGCGTCCGTAAACAATTTACATTTTCGACTTCTTCTCCAAAACCCCTAAACCAATTTCAATAAAATTTTGCAGGGACCTTCTATGGACAAAGGTCAACAAAAGTAGTGGCCGATTTATTACCAAGCCCCCAGGGGTCTGAGGGGCGGGGCCAAAAAGGGTCAAATTGACTAAAATTTCAAAAATCTTCTTCTCCAGAACCCCTAAACTAATTTCAATGAAATTTTGCAGGGACCTTCCATGGACAAAGGTCAACAAAAATAGAGGCCGGTTTAGTCCCAAGCCCCAAGGGGCCTAAGGGGCGGGGCCAAAAAGGGTCAAATAGACTAAAATTTCAAAAATCTTCTTCTCAAGGCCCCAGATATGGTAGAATCAAATTCTCTTCATATATGGAAGGTTCTTAAAGTGCTCTACCAAAATTGTGAATTTCTTGACCCTAGGGTCTCACATTTTCCCCTGGGGAGGGGGTAAACTTTACTATAGTTTATATAGGGAAATCACATTTTGGACCAACATTTGTTTAATTTCCATTGGAAGTAATTCAATTTGGGTTAGCATTATCAGTATTAGGTAGCAGTTTGATAGTATGCACCTATGAGCCCTGACTGACCCC